GTGAACAGAGATGGCAAAAGTACTCACTTTCTTGAGTAAAAGTACAGATACTTGTGTTAAAAAATACTCTGGTAAAAGTGGAAGTACTGATTAAACTTCTTTACTCAAGTAAAAGTAACAAAGTACAGGCTTGTAAATTTACTTAAAGTATAAAAGTAAAAGTAGAAACCACTTTTTTCATGCCGTTGCCTACATTTTAAATGGATGTCTGCCAATAGGACTAGATCTCCGTTGTGTTCATTTTCCATCATCTCGTCGTCCATACTACTATGCTAACGCCACCGCCATCAAGCTGCAATGATTTGCCGCCAATGATTACCGCCGAATCTGTCGATTCATCTTGTAGTGGTGCGTCAAATGCAACGTAGATTCCCATCCAATTAGATTGAATTTGGTATTGATGACGTGAAAAATAATAACGGTAACTCCATTGAAATGATTCAAAACTAAAGTAACGAGACAATTTTTTAAAATGTAAGGAGTAGAAAGTACAGATATTTGTGTAAAAATGTAAGGAGTAGAAGTAAAAAGTCACCATAAAAATAAGTAGTAAAGTAAAGTAAAAATATCAGAAAAATCTACTTGAGTACAGTAACGAAGTATTTGTACTTTGTTACTTCCCATCTCTGATTGTGAAGGTAAAGTTATAGAGGATTTTGATCTAATTGGAGATCTAAAATGTGTAAGTGAAGACTGTGAAAGGAGAGATGCAATTAGTTCCTGCAGTTCTTTTTTAGGTTTTTTTGGGACAGAAGACCATCAGCACTATGGCCAGCATTTTTCTGTTGAAGTTGTTGTAAACATAAAATTTTGCTTAATTGAAAATATGGGCAACATTTTGGTCAGTCAGCATTTCTGATGCTAAATCCTCATTTATCCAACACAATACAGATCTGTCCTACTTTAATGGCATATTATAATGTATTTTCCATTCTGTAGAGTGACTAAAACAAATGAGTGTCTAGATCATGAAATATCTACTCCATTGGAAAACTTGTCATAAATCATAAATTATAACTGGACACCCTGATAAGGTTAAAAGGGTAAAGTCACAACAGCCAAAATGCGTTATAAACAGATCTAATTCTAAATGTACTTTAACCCATTGTTAAATAATTAAACAAGAAACATGTGCAACAAATGTTTTTTTTTCCACACGCTCTTTTTTTAATTGTAAATAATAAAAATGAACTTTTTTATATATAAAACATACACATCGTTTGAGCCACATCTGTTATACAAACAAGAAATGTTGCAGTGAACGCTTCGCTTTTCTAATGTTCTCCTTGTTTCAGTGGAACACAGAAGATTGTAAACAATTAGCTTTTTTTTTTTTTTCTCCTGTTAATACTGACAAAAAGAAGGGGTGGGAGACTTCACCGGACGATGCAAAGAGAACTCTCATCATGTGGGACTTAACTTGTCCCTTTTGGTTGCAGGATTTAGATAATCTTGTGACCCATTAAATTGAATTCCCCCCACTGTATGGTCCATAATCATAGTCTATAATAATCTCTAAATAAATTGGCCTCTTTACAGTGATCAATAGTTTGCTGTTGAATAGGATTTCTCTGTGCACCTGTTAATTCTTGTATCAGCATGGCTGAAATGCAGTTAAAACATAATCATCTTTATATAGTTAGATGTAAATTGTACATATTTATTCATACATCACCTCAGCCCCTCTGAGGTATACTGTGAAGTGAAATAATAACATTAAGAGGGGCTGTGAGCTCTGCTCAGTACAACTGTACAATACAGTACATCTTCCAGGGAGTTGGGGAAAGACATCAGCATAATCTCGGGGTTCAGTTTGAGAGACATTCAGCACCAGACAGAGAGACGTGAAACAGACTCCAGCTGAGTTAAAATGTCTTTTTGAGTTATGGGAATGGCTTCTTGGTTTTTATCTCTTTAATATTCAAGTACGAGCAAACTGTACAACTGCATGCAACATACAAGCGGCCCTACAGTACGTGGAACTAACACGCATCTAGTTCAGTGTCTTTTTTTTTCTGTATCCGTTTTACAAAAACAAAAGAAATGTGCATGCAGCTTGGAACAGATTCCTAAGTCATTCCCCACATTGCTGCAAGAGGTGACGCAAACAGATAACCGGAAGAGTGTTGGTGTCCCCATTTTCAAATTCACAGAGATGCACAAGGAAACTGATCTATTCTTTTCTGTTTGCCTGTTATATCGAGACAAAAAAAACAAAACAAAAAAACTGGACCAACAGGATTGTTGCTTTTTTTTTCCTTGTTTTTTTTTTTAAATAACTACATGTTTTTTGAAAAGTTAAACTTTTTCTAGTAAAAAAATCAAGCTCTTGTGCTTTTATCTAAAACGAAATAAACTAAGGTTTGGATAAAAAGCTTTAAACGTCGGAGGTGAGGGAAGGCACTCCCTCAGAAATGTAAAGAATTACATGGTCCAATCCAGCTCTGGCATAGGTGAACAATAGGATTTTTTTTATTTTATCAACTGATATAATCTACTGACAGTGTTACTACACCTCTGTGACATTTCTAAGTGGCAAATTCTTGATTTATTTGTCAACCCTTTAAGAAGGACAACACAAGTAAAGAAAAGGATAAGTGGTTGTCATGTCAACCAGTGGTTGAACAACGATGATCTCATAACCGCTTGTTAAAATGTAAGACATACCACTGTACTGGTCCATCAGTTTGTCTCCCTTCTAGGCTTATTTCCTTGGGAACAGTCTCTAAGAATAATTAAAAGTTTGCTGCTTTCTAAACAGTGAAAATAGTTAAGGGCATTAAAGTCAGATTTTCAACAGCTCTCTCCCTAATTCGGAGTTCCTTCTTCTAAAACTGAGCCAAACGTACTGGGAAAAAAAACAAAAAAATCAATAATTAAAAAAATGGTGTCTGGTGGGAAATGTACATGTCCTGTAAACTTTATTGTTTTGGGTTGTTTTTCTTTTTGTTGGCTTGGTTTTACACATCTAGAATCCTCAAAAGTAGAATTATCAAAAAAATTAATATAACTTACAAAATGACATAAAAATAAAGACTAATTTAAATAAAGAATGAAATAATGAAAAAATTGTTGATTTAAAGTTCTTAGTTCTTTATATTTAGGTTTTTTGCTTCAAGGATTTTTTTCTTTATTGCTGAGTGATCTTTTAAACAGTCAAGTCCATCAATTCAAATTATTCATTTACCTTTAACATGCAAAAAACATTTCTAAAATATATTATTCTACAAAATAAAAATAAATTAAAAATAACTAATTTTAATTATTTATTGGGAGCCTGTCTAAGGTTTATCAAACCTTTCAGTGTAACTTTCTTTTGCTGTTGTGTTTGTTTCTTCCCTGGTTAGTATATCTGTTAATTGTATGAAACTCAGATACATTCAATTTGATAATTTGCATTAAGGCATAATAAAAACTAAAATAATGAAAAATAAATGAAGCTAAGAAAACTAAGCAAAAGCTAAAAACAAAACAAACAAAGGAAGCAATCTAAGGATACCAACTCTATTATAGGATTGCTTCCTTAATCACTCACAGTTTGATTCATCTTTAGATGATGTTAGTCTTGGTTTGAATGTCTGTTATTCATGGTTTAGATTAAATAAAATATCTTTACATTTAAAAACCAACTTCAAAAAAAAAAAAAAAACGTTTATTGATGGCATTGTTATTCCACATGTATCGAAAAGAACATTTTTGGAATTGCTGCTGATTAGAGATTAGAGTTTTAGATTATTCCATTTGTCTCTGTAGAAGTATACATATATCTTTTGTTATAATAAAAAGGGTTAGCCATTATATTTCTTTATATTGTCTGCTTACTTTTTATTACAGTTTGATTAAAACTATATCTATCCATCATATCCCCACAGCTCTACCAAAATACATACATACATACATACATACATACATACATACATACATACATACATACATACATACATACATACATACATACATACATACATACATACATACATACATACATACATACATACATACATACATACATACATACATACATACATACATACATACATACATACATACATACATACATACATACATACATACATACATACATACATACATACATACATACATACATACATACATACATACATACATACATACATACATACATACATACATACATACATACATACATACATACATACATACATATAGTTTGTCTACTTTATCTTTAAAAAGTTTGCAATGACTTGCTTATTCTTCATTCATGCAAATAAATCTTTTAAGCAACCTTTAAAGAAAGGAATTTTAAAAAATGGTCTCTTCTATAAAGTTGTGCATGTATAACGAAATATTTTAGGATGCAATATAAAAACAACCTGCTTTTCAAATGCTAAAAAAAACTAACCAGGGGCTTGCAAAAGTTGGCTTTTCAACTGCTAACCATGTTCCGGTCCTCATTTATCACATGTTTCCTCAGTAGTTCAATGAGTGCATCCCCTCTACACAGATTTACAGGATCTATCTCCCCAGCAATGATACTGTTTTTCAAATCCTGTGCCAAGTTGTACATAATTTTGTTAGGAAATTTTAGTTAAAAGTGCAAAAGTTAATCTCTGCTAATTTGTTTATTGTAGCTACATAAAATAGGACCATTGAAGTAATCCAAGCATAGAGTAAAACAGCATGTAAAGAACCAAAGACTGATGCTTCAAAAGCATAAGAGTGCAAATTGTTTGCATACTGTGTTTCCAAGACAATGGGATTTTTCTGCAGGAGACTAAAGACATTAGCTACCTTTGAGAGCTACTTTAGTGGTTTAGATGGGAGACTAAGTTGATTTGGATCAGCTGGGGGAGCTTAGCAAAACCCATGCCTATCAAAGTACATGAAGCTATTCTAAACTCTGCAGTACTGTGCAATGTTTTGCTGGGCAGTCAGGTTTAAGGAGGTGCTCAGCAGTGTAATGACCTGATATGGGTCAAACTATTGGATGGCAAAAAAAACACACCAAACAACGCACCATTTTATATATATATATTTTAATTATCTTGTGTATAACCCTCTTTTTAAAGGTTGCAAAATAAAAAACCCGTTGACATTTTTACTGTTTTTGAATCACTTTCTGAAAGGGAGGGAGATACAACCAAAATCTTGAATAAACTAAAGTAATGTAATGGATTTTATTTTATTTTTTTCGACCACCAGAGTATGTTTGAGTCATTGATGGGATTGTCAGTTATTATAAGTGTGATATCAATCAAATACGGATTTGTTTTCAACAGTAATTTTTGCTTGACAACTAACCCTATTATTTGATAAATGATGCTTGCTGTGTGCAGCAAGGTCATCATTGTTCCACCTAGGATACTTTCAGGTGAACTAAGTTAGAAAATAGAGCCAAAATGGTGGACCATCTGTTACTGTTATCCAACATCTTGCAGAGGAGCTGCAGATAAAATTTGATGTCCCTTTTAAATCTTTTATATCATGCATTCCCAAGACTGACCACAAAACAGGAGCCGTTTGCACACCGTAAAAACATTTTGTGCCCGTAGTAAAAAAAAAGAAAAAAAGAAAAGTAAATGAACACCACATAATTCACTCTTAAAAGACTATGGCCTCAGAGTAGCCTTGGTAAACATGTTGAAAAGAGAATATTTAGACAAAGAGAGGGACAAGTGATCTAGGCACCAGAAGAAGGCCCTGTGCTTCCAGACTGAACACCCATGCAGGGGAGGGCGGGGCGGCACCCTAACTGGGACCAGAATACCGGCAGTCTGATGGGCTTCTGGAGGAGGCCACTACACAAAGTAGTCCGCCCCCTGCAGTCAGCGAAGGGATTTTACCTCGTTCTTGAGGCCATACATTCCAATACTTACATACATTTCTTCGCTAGGTTGATTCAGCTAAAAAAACCACCCTGTTTCTTTTGATTCACTCATAGCTGTCATATTCTGACTGGAGAGCAAGAGACTGACTATGAGACGGTAATTTGAATGGAAACGAAAGACCGAAATATGACGCTCCCTACAACAGATAAAAATAACTGCAGAAGGAGTGATTGTCAGATTTCAACAAAGCTTTCCCTTAATGACCATTTCCAATGTTTTTCTACGTGTCTGCCTTGTATTGTATGTGCCTCTCTTGTTCATTTAATTCCTCGTTTGTTTTTCTTCCCCTTCCCCTGAGGGACGGAATAGAGCTGTTGGTCCACTAGGATCGAACCCCAGGTGGTCCCGGGGAGCTGTCAAGAGATGATTGGGAAGCTCTCCGTGTCAAGGATGCCAGCGTTGGATCAACCAAGGAGGATGGAGGGAATAGCTTGTACCAACCAATGACTGTGTTTGATAAGTATAGCTCATCCAGCAGGATCTGTGCAACTCCCATGAAGCTTTTATGGTCCATTCGGCCATAGTCTCCCCAGACGATAACCTAAGCGAGAAAATTGAATTGAAGACATGCAGCTCTGTCATGTGCAATGAGAATAAACATAAAGTAAGAGAATTTTAAAAAAAGTTGTGGTATTCACCTGTAAGACCTTCCCCTGGGGGCTCTCCTCAAATAGTAGTGCTTGCTGGTACAGGGGGTCAAGTGTTTTCCGTGCAATCTTGGTTTTCTTTTTGGCTACATATGCCCCATTGTTTAGTAGGTAGACTTTGACATAAGGAGCTAAAAAAAAGAAAAACAATAACATATTTTATTTATTTACAGGCACAAATTGATTCAGATTCTCTCACAGGAGCTGGGTTAAGACTGTCTGTATTCAGAACACATGCTACCAAAGATATGTAGGAAAATATGTGCTCTTAGGAAAATAATAAACAATTATTTTCTAGATTTTAAAGATCTAGCTGTTGGTTCAGGTTCATACTCTTATGGTTTAACATCCTCAGTAAGTAATAAGAAGATATAAGGGTATATGGTGAGAACATGATACGGCTGCAAGCCTTCTAAATAAACATCCGCTGCCCTTTAGGTGCAGGTCCTTACCAGGCAGAGATTTGGATCCTGGCTTTTGTACGAGTCCTCGAGCTCTGATTACCTCCACCTCCAGCTGGCCTTTTTTCTCTATCATTGAAATCTGAATGTCACCTGGGTAAACATAGAAGAACAGTGTTTAAAATGATGAAGATAAGATGTTTAAACACTTGTTTTAATTAATGTCAGATAATTCTGGTCAAGACTCTAGCAAATGGTCACTAATTTCCTTTACTTTTTTATATTCACAGCTTTGCTCAGAGATGGGCCAAAAAAAAGCTTTATTTAAGGTGAAACATTTCTTAATATTTCAGATTAAATGGACCGAAGGCTACAAGTCTTGATGCTGAATTTCTATTTTTTTGTGTAATCAGATTTTTATTATGCTTGGCCTTTTTATTCCTTTCCATTGCTGCCCTTCAAAAACTCTATCCATGCCACTGCTGAACATAGGAATAGGAATATTCAAACATTAGACTATGCATTAAGGAGAGGGGCTTGTGTTCAGGAGATTAATATGTTTCTGGGAGAAATTAACCTCATAATCCCAGAAAAGAAGCTAAAGATGTTTTAAGGATCCTAAATTCCACCGCTAAAGTGTCCTCAATGACCCATCATACTAGAAACTACATAAAAAGCCAAATTACAGTATGCAAATACACCTGGGGGAAAAGACTAATAAGTAAATTAGAATTTGATGTAAAACTATTGCAAATTCCAATTCCAAATTTCCGGGAGTTGTAATAAAATATAAAAACTATTTAAAATGCTGAAAACTACTCTAAATCCATTATTAGAAAAAAATTAACAATCAGTAAGCAGGCAATGAAATGGAAACAAATAAACAAAATATAGGAGAGGTAACATAAGAAAAAACAGAAATAAGATCCAACATTTTATTTGAAAAGGAGAAAATTATTTAAAGGATAAGAAATAGAACTGTACAATTAAAAATGAGCTATGCTAGATCAAATGTGCAATGAAGGGAGCAGAGAGGAAAGTAGATAGATTGATTAGAAGTAGGAGACAAGATGAGAAGAAATTACAAAGTATAAGGGGGGACATGACATGAGAAAAGAAGACATGAGACGAGTGAATAGTTAAGAAAAAAAGACAACTACAAATTAAAAAGTAAGAAAAAAAAAAGGTCTATCTTCTGACTAAGGATGGAGTAAAAAGCACTCTTCTCACAGATGAGAAGAAAAAAAAAAGATTAGATAAGAAGGGAAAGTAAAAGCTGAATAAAAAGATGGCACAAGCGACCAGTATGACAATTAAGTACCTATGGCAGGAGTAGCCAGTGTTTGCCTGCCAACCAGCTGTGCTGGTCCCAGTCCATCCAAGAAATCGCTGAACTGGCTGCTGGCACCCAGATTGACTCCAGAAAAGATCAAACTAATCATAAAAGAAAAAAGAAATAGAGAAAGTTTGTTTCCTGTTGAGCTCAGGTTGTCACTGTAAATCTGATTCTCAGGTGATGTGTTGCAGATCGAGGGTTTGGTGGTTTACTGACTTTCCCTCAGAGTTGCAGCTGTTCATGCTGCCATTGTTTGATTCTCTGCTGGGCTGCCGGCTCATGTTCCTGGACAGCTCCACAGCCATGCCGGTCTCCGTGCTCCTCTGGATGGGGGCTCCCTTTTCCCTTTTAGTCTTCCCCTCTTCATAATAAAGAGAGAAGACAAAAGAGCAACACTTTTAAACCAACCGTTCCCAGCCTTACAATTTAACACAACAGATGAGCATAAACTCATGAGATGAGGCAGACTGACCTATAATGTTCCCAGTCAGCAGTTTAGATTAAAACGGTTGCATCACATCCAATCCATGGTTTTTTTGTGTGTGTGTAAATCTGTTTTTTTTTAAGTTGAATTCAGTCAAAACAATACTGTATTGCAGAGGTCTTCAACAGGGGGTCCTTGACCCCTAGGGGGTCCTTGGAGGTACTGCATGGGGGTCGCGAAAGTTTTGATTTATTAGGCTTTTTTTTATATTCCCCCTGCAATGTTTTCCACTAATTGAAATGTCTTTAAATCCACATTAACATGACTTCAACAGACTGTAGTAAACAAATAAATGGAGGCAGAAGATGTCTATCAGTCATCAATGCACATATTCAGAGACACACAGGACCTCTTTAAAGCTGGGCACCGTTTCATTCACAACACCTGTCCCATCAACCAGGAATCAGAATAAGAAATACCTTAATAATCCCAGGGAAAAATTACTTTGGTTACAATACTAATATTTTTAATAGAGTGGCTATAGGACCAGTTTGATATAACACAATTTCATACAATATAAATAATTAGGGGGTCCCCGCTCCATCTCGCCATCAGTTTGGAGGTCCTTGGCCTGGAAAACGTTGAAGACCCCTGCTGTATTGTATAATGTTTGATGATGATATATGAATATAAGGGCTTTGAAAATATTTGCAACATTGTGCAATTTCTACTTGTACAAAACCTTTGTGTGACTTAGTAAGCATACATTTTAAATGAAAAGATATATGACAAAAATGGTGTCTTGTAACAGTGTTTTGACCCTTTAAACGCTGTTAAACTTCACCACATCACAACCTCAAACAAAGCAGCAAATATATGTGCAGTGGAAGAATTTTTCTTTTTATAATTTCTGAGAACTGAAAACAAACACTTGCTGTGAGTTTAGTTGCACAAGAGAAGCCAGGTGTTAGATATAAAGAGAAGAATTAAAGCAAACCAGACTGTACTGTTAGTTTAGTCATATGTATTAAAACGTTACTTTACTTGTGGATGAAAAAGGTCTAACAAAAGAAAAAGTTCAGCTTCCCTAACCTTGATTTGTGAAGCCCGGCCAGCCACATCTATAGTCTGCTCTAATAAGTAGTAAATAGAAAATCTCGGGGTTGCAAATACAGTAGAAAAATCGACTTTGCAGCTTCAACCGCTAAATGACCACAATATTTGTATTCAGAAACTTAAGCATGTTCCTGCCCCTTTAACCATTCCTTAACCGGATTCAATAATCACAATATAATAACAGCTAATATGCTGGATGCATCTTAACCTTATAAAACCAAAAAATATAAGGTCTAAATACTGAGTCTGCCTTACCTAAGTTTGCAGTCGTCCATCCATAACAAGTAGGGGTTCCTTTGCAAATAAATGTTGATGTCTGTACTTTTTCTGACTCCTCTCTCCCATCTCTCCATCAGAGATAAAGCAGCAGAGGTAAGAGCCCCCCCGGCCACATCCATTCTAATAGCTTTTTTATGTCAGGAACAAAGCAAGGGACAGGCAGTGTTCGGCTTTCATCCCAAATGTCCCCACTGGATAAGTGGATGCTGGACATTTAAGCTCTGAGGCAGCAGATTGTTTTGTCTTTTCCAGAGCAAAGGGGTATTTAGATATTCTAGGTGTTGGGGGGGATTATATTTGAACTGTCAAGACAAATAATCAAGATTTTCCAAATGTTGCACAGATTTACAACAGTTTTTTTTCATGTTTGCCAATAACAGATTAAGCCTAAGTAAGTCTGAAGTGATGTTGTCTCTGAAAATAGTTTAAAATCTTTAATCAGCATTAGACTGAATATTAACCTGACTGGCTGAGCAATAATCTAAAGGTGTTTGATGTTTTTACATATAGAAATATTTTGAAATCATTCAAGAACCAAAACATATTTTTTCAAATTATTATTACTCAACATGGGATATGAAAAAAACATGTAACCCAAGAATGTTTGAACAAAGAAAACTTTTTTTAGACTCTTTCCCTAACAGCGCTACTTTAAGTCCAACTGAGGTCACTCCAGGGCCTCCAGCAGTGGTCTCGACACAAACATGCCAAGTAGAGGAATCCTACTGCTGATCATTTTTGCGATGTAGCGTCATATGAGGTAGAGGATGTCTGTCCATCATCTTAACCATGGATAGAAAAATAGAAGGAGAGGAAGGTTCTGTTGGAGATGGATGAAATTATAAATGATTTTTGTGGGTACATGCCATTTCTGTTTGGATGGGGCCTTAGTGAAGATCCCTATGGTTTCAGATCATAAAATAAGACAATCACTGTTCTCTTAACCTCTACACAAAAAGCCTCATTTATTTCCCTAAAATAATAATCATGTGAGTAATTAACAGGATCTTGTTCATAAGAGGTTTATTTTTTAATTATACCCGAAAGCTACATTATATGATCAAGTTTTAGCAGGTAACTGTGTTGCATGTGTGACTCACCTGGACCACTGATCTGTGAGGTGCTGCGGCTGCGGTGTTTGCCGACGATTGCCACTACACGAGCGCTGATGCTGGAGCGTCTCTTTTTGCTGCCACCCCCTACCGTGCCCAGCGCTGTGTCCGATTGGCTGCCATCTGTGCGTTCCTGCGTGTAGATCTCACCACTCACACTGGAGCTCTTCATCATGTTCCGGCCCATTGATCGCATCTGTCGACTGTAAGAAGGAAGAAGCTGGATGAATGCAGGACCTGGTGCGTGTCATTAAGGGTGATCTTACACATTGTCTAAAGTAAAAAATGCATGAGCACTATAAAAAGAGTGGAAAGTTTTATTTATTTTTGCAAAAAGTGGACCAAATAACATATGGGGATTTTAATAAACATATTTTGGAGATTGTAGCTGTTGTAGGAATGAAGCAGGTTTTTAATCAGCAACATTGGCATAATATTAAGGATTTAAGTTAATTCTTCTCAAACACGACAGGAAACATGAGCAACAGCAGCAAAGTGAGCGATGTGGCCTCCCAGGGTTTTGGAGGAGCCAGCGCAGGTCGTTCCCTTCAGAGGGTGTCAGTATGCTGTAGGACAGCGCAGCCACACTGCCCCTTTCACTCAGACTTTCTGGTCCCTGTGGTTCAACGACAGATACAGTCCAATGGGCCAGAGAAGCCGGAGAGAGAGCGGGTACAGGGAGGGTTGTTTGAGGCCTCTCCACTGCCCCCTGAAGGGGAGTTGGAGGATTTCTGGTAGAGCAGGGGTAGGATGAAAGGGGAGGATCCAGGTCTGGAGGATGGAGGGGGTCCAGGCAGTCACAGCACAGGAGACATGCTAGGAGAGATCTTCAACATGCAGGGGGAATCACACAAAATACACAAACACACGGACAAGAGGATAAATACAGTGTTTCAGTGCAAACATGTCTGTAGTTTCTCACTTTATAATGTTCAACTTAATCTTTCAATTTTGTGCGTATACAGCAGTTCTCAGATGTACACAAACTCTGTTAAAAGGCCATATTTGTACAGTAGTATGTTATTTTTTAAATTCAAACTGACTGATTATGATACGGACACTTGTCAGGGAGGCCAATAGCAAAACTTAAGGAAGAGTAAGAAAATAAAACTAGGTCTGCCTATGTTCTAAGTGTTTTGTATTGTCATTCCTCAGGCAAAGAATTGTTATTGGTTTGTCAAGATAAATAAAATTGTTAATAGTTCCTAAAACTAGACAAATTTCCCCCCAATTGTTGTATTATTTGACTGTTAGTAAGCTCAAGATGGGCTTGTCATGGCAGTTTATCTGGCCATCAGGAGTCAACAGAGACATACCATATCATGAACTGGGGAGTGGCAGCCAAGTGGTTAGGGCATAGAGCTTGTGATCCTGAGGTTCTGGGTTTGAACCCCACTCCCACAGAAAGCCACTCTGGGTCTATGAAGAAGACCCTTAACCCCCCCTACTGCTCCCCATGATGGCAGCCCACTGCTCCCCAAGGGGGTGGGTTAAATGCAGAGGTAAATTTTTCCAATGTGAGGTCAATAAGTTCAATTATTAGAGTTGCTCTTGTAAAGTGTGTAAATTGCCCAAAATGCAAAATCAATTAGATTAAATGTATAACAGAGCAGTTTTTTGTTTATGAAATTATATTTACAGCTAAAACCAGTCCTTTTAAAGACTTTATGAAGAGTTTGACACCACAGTCCTACAGGAATTACTAGAGTAAAATCACAGATTTTAGTTCCTGCAGACAGCTGTGACATCATATATTTAGATCGATAGATCATGAAAAGAATGACATTGTTTAAAGATAATTTAAATTTAGACTTTTATAGCCAGAAATTTTTTTTTTCTTTATTACACATGTCTATTTTCCTATTAAACACTACACCAAATAGGTAACAACATTTACACAAAAAAAAAAATGTTTTGGAATTATACATTTATGGTCTGTTTTTGTCAAGCCCAAAGACTGACTTTTTAACTGAGTAGTGTACATCTTTGAAATCCACCATGTTATAACATGAAGTGCATGCATTGCAAATTATAGGAACAGATTAGGTGAATTACATTAAATTACTCAAAATATCAATTGTAGAGTCCTTTAGAGCAAGTTGGTTGATGGAGTGCAAAAAAAGGGGGTTTGTGTGTTTGTCTTGTCCAACATCTCCTACTTTTCCATCTCCTTTCTATATTTCTCAATAAGGTGAAATAACTGGCCTGGTACGAACAAAGACATTAACAGCTTCTCTAAAATAAAAATGGAGCAAAGAGCTGCAGATTAGACCAAACCTGGTTAGCTGTTATGTGTTCCATCCCAGTGTTGTACATGAATGTGCATACCCTTCAGTTTTTAACACCTTTTTATAACCACAAACATTTTTTCCTATAGTTACTTTCTGTGTGTAACAAGCAGAAATAAAAAGGGGCACAGAGAGCAGGGGAATGCAGGCAGCAGTCTCAGGCACCAGATTGGAACAGTGGTTAACCTCTGCTGTCTCTCATTCTACTTCTACAGAACTGCTCCCTTTTGTTAGGATTTTAAGAGAAAACCACCAGATGGTTAAAAATTATGAGGTGGAGGTAAAAGGAAACACAGTTGCCTGATTGTTTAAAAAAAAAATACAAAACCAGTTAAAACAGTATGAAAGCATTTGGACTGACCTGCTCCTAGGTTGTGAAGAACAAGGTTGTCTTTTCTCTCCTTCCCAGACTTCAATATATTAGCCAGATAATAAGCTGCACTACATCAACCTCTGGCCCATGGAGGACCACTGGGATTGGGTCATTTGTCCCTGTCAGTGCCCTGTTTCTGGTCAGCCAGCATAGTGCGTGTGTTTGGGAGGGGAGCATATTTTTAATATTTTATTAGTTAGGTGAGGGTTGAAGGTGAAGTTAGTACTCTTTTTTTTCTTTCTTTTTTTCTATTATAGTCCTATTTTTTTTCTACAGTAAAGGAAAGACAGGTTAAGCCTTAGAAAATGTTTGTCGTCAGTTGGTCGTCAGCTGAACCCACTCACACACTGCTGATATTTACTTTTTCCTCAGTTCTCGTCTATTTTCAGATATTTTTTTTTTGTGTTGTCCAGCTCTGAAGTGTGCTGATCTCCAGGCCTCACGCAGCTCTGTGTATTCAACACCATGACTATGCAATAATGAAAGTTATTGTATGAACTCACATAAAATCAGTAAACCTACAAATAACCAATAAAGGCTTTTTTTGGCTCCAAGTTCTGCAGGTAAATGTTTAAGCCACAACAGACTTCCACATGATCTTTCCCAGTGACTGCGATCTTGAGGGAGCTGATATAACCCATAGGTCTGTTTCAGCTCAGAGTGACTTGATTTGGGCTCTAAAGATCTTTTAATAACAGTCCACTTTATCCCAAATTTCTTCTGTTCTGTATCAGGCATTTACAGGTTAAAAGAAAAACAAACAAAACAAAAAATAAACCTGCACTTCTCTGTATGAAGGCACTAAATTGCTTTGTGTATCCGAGCAACAGGGTATTGCCCACATGTAGGGGAAAAAAAAGGAATGTATGATGTGATATTTGATTAAATGGTTGGATTAGTATATGTTATTTTAAAACAAATACAGTCTTTTATCTTATATAGGCTTCAGTTGAATAACATTTAGAACCACATGATGAGTTTTTTCCCCTATAATTTATCTCAGCAGGAGGACAAGATATTTCTATTATACTAAAGGCTTACATTGACACCATGAGTGAAAACTAACTCTTTTACTAAAATATATATTTTTAATGTAACCAGTGCAAGCCAAAAAATATTAAACTTTTGAATTTTTTCCTATTTCATCTCAAAGCATACTAATTAAGGGTACAGTGAAGGTGTTGCTCTTTGATATAGAGGTAGAGCAGCAGAGTCCAACTCAAAGCTGTCCCACAGAAAACCACTGCTTTCTCTCGCTAAAGCTTCATGCTTTTTTTTTTTACTTCTGTTGCGTTAAAATTGCTTTCAAACCTACATCTGGAAGCTGTGTTGTATTTAAAGCTACAGTGTGTAATAATTACAGGCATATAAAGTCAGAAATTTAATATATTATACATAACTATGTTATTTATCATCACCTATGAGCTCAGCCTTTTAACCATAATATTTGCGTTGCCTTAGAATTCGTTATTTATAATTACATAGGAGCGGGTCTCGCAGCCATGGAGGCTGACATCTTTGCGCTACGGCAAGCGCAGAGGCAACAAACTAGCGATTGCGAGATCTCCCATGACGCTCGAAAATAACTACGGCAAGTTGAGAGAGATGAACTGAGACGGTACTGAACAGTAGATGGCAGTATTATGCCTGAGAAGCGTTTAGTCTGCCTGAAACCAAAGAAGAAGAAGAAGCAGGTATACTGCGCCTCAGTAACAAGAAAGGTGAACAAGGCGGCAGGCGTGAGTGACTTTGCAAACTGTTTGGCACTGTGTGGCCAAACATCAGACGAATGGAGGATCATGCCTACTCTGTATCACAACGAAAAGCGGCGGACACCGAACCCCCGTCATCTAAGAAGCGGAAACACGACGAGAATAAACGCAAGCGTGACAAGAAACGGCAAAAAACACGGATCAACATTGGCACGGCATTTACACGATGGAAGTCACTGATGGAGGAAAAAGGTTTTCAAAGTGACGCTCAAGTTGCCAGTTTTCTCTTGGACAGGTAATTAATCCTGCACACACAATTGTCTAATATCACTGCAGTTTTTGGAGTACAGGATGCTCAGACCTGTCTAAAACAATAACATGCTGCGTGATGATGCTGCTACTCTCCAGTATACTTATTCAGCAACGTCCCTGACGTTTTACAGGTAATGATTCAGTAATTTTCTGTAAAATTAATTTCTGGATATATACCTCGGTTACTTCTCTCCGGCTCCTTTGGAGATCTTCAAGCCTTTCCTCCTCTGCTCTAGTCACCCCGCTGGCACCTCTCCCTCGCCTGGCCCTAGCTGCATGCCCTCGCCCTCTTCCTCTCCCTCTCCCTCTTCCTCGCCTTGTAACCCCCGTGCCACCAAAATGACTTGGACTCTGTAAACGGGGAATATATATTCTTCCAGCGAACACAATCTCGCTGTTAAACTAATGACTACAATTACTTCGTCTGTTTATATCACCATGCAAAGCAGCTCACCAAAACGTCACAACGATGTAGAAAAAATAACGGGTATATTTATTATCTTAAGTCTACATGAAATCTATACCCTACACAGCAAGGGCGTAGGTTTGATTTGAACTTTGGTAGGGACACAATTGGTCAGGTGTCATTGGTGCTGTGCAATATGCATGCCTTTTTTTATGCTCGATGTGAGCATCCGTACTGATAAGAGCAATTCATTGTTAAAAGAGAAAAGCATAATTTTGCTACATTAATAAAAATGTTATAAGCACTACACTCATTAGATGCTGTTTATCAATGTTTGAAGTATCACCAGCTCTGATGAATGTGGAATTAGGACTGTTTTCCACTTTGAAAATGGTTTCATTTAAATGACTAAGAGAGAAGGTAAATACAGTATTTTCTTTTGAAGATATAGAATTATGCAGAGGTAAACCCCACTCTTATATTTTTTACCTACTATGCTCTCTTTATATCAAGCAAAATAATACATTCATTAAAATATTAACTTCACTATAAAAGTTGAACATCTGGGCTGTAGTTACTCTGTGTAGCCCAAATCATGTATTTTATCTGGGGCTGAAAAAATGAATTATATTAATTGATTATTTCAATAATTGTCAACTAATTTAGTGAGTGATTCATCATTAACTGAAGAATAGAGACTCTAAAACATAATCTAAATGTAAAATGTGCCTTTCCCCGACAGAGCAACCCACTTAAATCAGTAATTATACCAAAATTGTAATTATACCAAAATTGTAAAAATACTTATATATATATATATATATATAATATTTAAAAAAATGTTTTTGTCTGTCAATATTCTCCATCCAGAACTCCTCATGTGGAAATATTTTAGTTTCACCTGGTTTATTTAGACATCACCTGAAGCACTGAAGGGCCAGCTGCTTCACCTACAAGCTGCCCTGCAACATTATTGCTGGATATCTGTGTTTCCTATAATCATATAATGTATAAGTGCATTTTTAATAGTAAAGGATTAAATGTAACACAACCTTTTATCACCATCCTATATTGCTTACTGTCTGACTGTTTAAATAGCTCCTTATGTATATTTTCTTTTTCAGTGGCATCATCTACAAACACAACACTAAGAATGAGCCTAAGTGTATTCAAATATAAAATCACTTTTAACAATTATAAAAGACAATATAACAATATATTATCTGTAATTTAATAATATCAAAAATAAACAGCCATATTCAAGCATTTTTACCAGACATTAATGTTTGTACTAATTTACTTATTGACGGTGTGGAAATCTTATATGTGGAACCCTAATTATGCTTTTTAAACGATAAACAGCAGATGTTTAGCCACCATTTCTTGTTGTTATACTCTATAAGAGAAATAACACCTGCTAATAATTATACCTGAACTTTCTCAAAGAGTCATCAAAAAATGAAAACAGTAACAGCAACTAAATATCGGTAAAAAGGAAACCCTCACATTTTCTTTTTTAGGTGGCTGTGGCTAAGAATCAGAAATGTTGATGACTTACAGCCTTTATTTGCCCATTTTTCCAGCAGTCTTCAGAACTCCTGGCTGACTCAGGATATTTCGTTTTATAAAAGAAAAAAAAATGTTTTTGTTTTTTAGTGTACTTGATATAAAAAAAATTTTTATCGGGACTTGTTTTGTAGCCTAATAATAACCGCAGCATTCTAGTGTGAATACATGTTCAATGTTGTGCTCCAAGCACACACACCAGAAAACAGCCAATCAGAGGGAGAGAAGGCGGAACCTAAGGCAGAACAACCAATGACAGTGGAGTTAAACAGCGCAGCACAGTTCCATGGGCTGCTACATGAAAGGGACAGGAGAGACAAGGCAGAGGAGCTGCGAGAGGAAAAGAAGCCACTGCTGCAACAACTACTGCTGTAAATTATAAACATGTTGCTCACATCCAATCATTGGTAGGGACAATTAGGTCGGTTCAAAATTTTGGTAGGGACATGTCCCTATGGTCCCTATGCAAACCTACGCCCATGCTACACAGACTAATGAAATACTATCTGTAAAATTATCTATGTAAACAAACCTCATCACTCGAGAAGGTAGGTGATGTGGACGTCGTGGAAGACATTTTGTCCCGTAACGCTCGCCGTACTGTTGGGGGGGAGAAGCGGTGGGGGGGAGACGTTCATGTTGCTGCGGTCTGCAGTCTGACCGCTAGATGTCGCTGAAAATTACACACTGTAGCTTTAATGTTTTCAGTTGTAATAATCTGTCAATGTCAATAATTTCAGTTGATTTAGGCTGATAGGCTGGCTTCCTTTTGTGTTAGGTTCTAATTACTTCCTTTTACTACCATAATCTACCATAATCTCTTCATTTGTAAGTTTTTGAGGTTTGTACTTCAAGTCCTTCCTGCATAGTTATATTCCATTTAGTGATCTTTCTGTATTCTGATTTTCATTTCCCAGCTAATCTACTAGCACCAATGAGTCATTTTTTTCGCCTATACCTCAGCCCAGTAATTGCCTCAACTTATTGTAAAAGAGCATGAAGACAGAAATATATAGATATAGCTTATTCATTCACATCCTACTGTGTTTCTCCCACACAGACTTTGGTTTATTATTTTTTTCTCCCAAATCCAGATTTCTGTTACAGTAAATTTCAATTTTTTATATCAGTTTTATATCAGTTTTTTTTTTAGGTCAGGTTGTCTGTCTGCCAGCTTTTCACATATATAAGTAATAATTTGAAATGTTTATATGTACATTAATCTAATGTTGTTTCTTCTTTTCGAAGCTTTTACTTTATTCTATATTAATATAATTTGAATTTGGCGAATTATTTAATTCAAGTTCATTTACATTTCCTCTGAGATAAACAAGCTGTGGTCATTACATCATAAAACACTGATGTTGCTGTTTTTCCTCAGTCTTGAAGGAAGGAGGGATTGATTACTGAGGAGGTGGAGAATCACTGTTACCTGGACTCCTCTGTGTCTCCTGCTACAGTGTGTCTCCTGCGCTTTAACTCCTGAGAGAAGCGCCTCTTTCCAGCTTCCCTCTTTCTCTCCTCCTCTCCGTTTACCTCCCATGAGATTCTTCTTTCCTTCTTGTCTTCCTCTAAAGACTTGGATCTTATTTTGTATTAAAATTTGTCAAATTCGGTGCATTCGTGCGATTGTTTGTATGTTATTATTTGGGATAGAGAGGAGACGAAATGCAAAAAAAGATGAAGCATGCAGCATGCAAGAAAAAAAAAAGATTAGCATACAGGTTTAAAAAAAGTAAAATATAGTTCAGATTTGACCAGAGCAGCATCTTAAAGACTTACCTGAGCCGTCCCCCAGGTCGCTCTGATTGTATGGACATATAACTGGCGCTACTGAGGCGAGAGGCACTGCTGGCACGGGAGAGGGCAGACACGTCGCTCATGTCACTGTCAGAAGATCTGGCAGACATGTTGTCACTACTGCGCCTCTGCTCTGCGTACATCTGTGGAAAAAGCACTCATAAAATAAAGCTCAAAAAAGTACATTCAGAATTAATCATTTAAAGGCCCCCATAAAGAAGGGTTGAGGACGCATACCTCCCGCTTGGTCTGGACGTCTGTTTGAGGATCGTGGGAGGCTGAAGGCCAATAGGAATGTACTTTCATTGGCAGCCGTCGGGCTCGCTCCTCTACTGCTAGGGCTGATACAAATGAAAAGAAAAAAGGGAGGCCATATAAAAAGAAATCAGAACAAAAACTATCAATGGAATTTAAAAAAAGCACTTATTCAGGATCCTAACACTAGGTGGAGTATAGCCTTGGATAACCTTTACTATGGTATGAATTTTAACATATTTACAAATGACTTTATCACAGATTGAAATTCGTTAATAATCAACCTGGAAAATAAGTATCGTCTAAAGATAAAAACCCACAGATATCAGACTTATGCACTATTTTAACCCTGCAACATGTTCAAAGTCCCCAAAGCTAATTTTAAAATCAAAGTGTTTAAATGATTCCTACAAGACAAAAAGGAAAAGGAGATATAGTGCTCTCACACCTAATTTATCTTTTATTATAGAGGGGCAATAAATAAGCACAACAATTCTAAAAACACTAAATAAAGTCCTTAACACAACTACAAACAATGAAACTGAACAATGGAATACGTAAAATGCTGACAGCATTTAGGTCATATCCAGCTTCTGTCTTTTTTGCCTTACATTATTATGAGTTTAAAAAAACTAAACATACCATGCTCTATGCTGCTGCTCTTCATAGGGAGCTGTGGAAGCTGCCGACCTCTTCGACTGGACATCGCTGTTTGAGGAGAAGTGCTGCCATGTCGGTATGCTCTAACAAAAACAATAAATGGCACAAAACGGGCACAATGACAAGACATTGTTAGCTGCAGTTACTACAAATCAAAAAACAACTTATTTACAAACCAAATAGCTGAAGCAAATAACTGTCATGTGGAGAAAAGGACAGTTAACAGTGAAGTTAAGAAAGCAGGAAAAGGGAAAAAAAGAGGAAAGTTTTCTAGGTATGTCTTCTACTCATCTATCTATACATTAGTGTATAAAGGCTTCACATTCTAAAACAGCACAATGGAAAAAAACTACTTGAATGAGAATAGGGACACAAACACAGGGGAGGGGGTTAACACAGCTAACAGCATGCACCTGTCCGTTCGTGGTGAGTTAGGACAGGAACCTGACAGCACTGTCTTTACAAAGGGCTTTAGGGGCCCCCCTCTCCCTCTACTGCCCCTCAGGATAGAGGTTGGCTGAATTCGACTGTCGGCAGCAAATAAAAAAAACAAATGATACAAAAATAAGAATATTAAACCGTTTAGAGAGAGAAAAATAATAACCGATGGAAATATTGCAGTAAGTTTACTTCCCTCTACTGTTCATATTTTTTTGTTGTGAGACAAAGACAGAATACAACTCGAAATGGGATTACTAAGAAATAATTGAAAAGACAATAAGAAAAGCATTGTGTATTTTGCCATACGGCTGCAAAAGTTTCATCGTAGCAATCTAAAAAAGAGCAAGAAGGCAAGGCAAGGCAAGGCAAGGCAAATCTATTTGTATAGCACAATTCAGTACAAAGACAATGCAAAGTGCTTTACATGATTAAAATACAGGAAGATAAAACAGAATCAAAGCAAGTAGGAAAAAAATATAAAATAAAAATAAATAAATAAAAAATAAATAAAATAAAATAAAAAAGGCAGAAACAAAAAAGAATATTAAAAACAGTTGGAAGTTTTTGTTAGATTACATTTATTTATTTTTAACAGACTCTTGTCTTAGATCGCTACGATGTAAACTCTTGTTTACATCTCAAAGGTTTTCAATTTGAAAGGCAGAAATGAATGTGATTTTTCTCTTCGATTACCTAAAATATATCGAAATGAAACACTACCACTATATTTAATCCATATCTCTCCTAAAACAACATGTTATTTGCAGAACATTTGAAAGAAAGATCCCAATGTTGTGGACATGCGGGTTTAATGCATGGATTGCTTAAAATCTTTAAATGTTTTTTTTTGTGCTTAAAACTTATACTTTTGTCAAATAACCAGCTATAAATGTTGCCTTAAATGTTTTAATCCTTAGGAGGAAAATGAAAATCAATCAAAATCAATATTAACAAGTCAAACCTGAACCAAATAATGCACATGGTAAATATCTAGGGTGGAGGTTCACACCAAGCATATACAAAGCTTTAAGAAAGAGCTGTGAACAAATAAGTGTGAGTGCTTTGGAGGTAGGAACTATCATTTCATTACAAACTACAGAAAGAAACCTTTGGGGCATTTTGTAAACCTATAGCTACAAGTTAGGTTAAGCTACTGTACCTTTTCTCGTCTCTAACACAAACTTCAGTAAAGATTACGACATTCAAGAGTATAGCGCCCCCAAATGGCACCGTAGAGTAATGTGTTATTAGTTATTATATTATCTGGAGTTACTAGTATGTAGCGTTAGTCATTTCTTATCATGTCACATCAAATATGGTGCAATTTATGTCATAGGCTCTAATAATTCCAGTGTTATCATTCTTTCAAGTGTTAATACTTGTATGGCACCAGAATATGATAAATACATCCTTAAGTAAACATTTATATTCAGATAAATTGGGTTCCATCAGCTTAGCCAAAACTATTCATATTCTTGGCAGGTGTAGATTAAGAAATATTTCAATACAATCAAGTTATTTTTGATAAGAAACACGATCAATGAAATAGAAGTTTATGTGATAAAAACTATTACTATCTCTCTTAATTATCAGTGAAAAAAATAAATAACACCAAGCAGTCAAACCGTTCTTAGAGATGCAGTTTTTTTTTCCCATCTCTTCTTGGCTGCTAACTCCTATTCTTTAAGATAGGAAGCCCTTTGTGACCTGGCCCTAATCTTTAGCTACCTAAAAACTGGCTGTAGCTGTGAAATACAAAATTTTGGAGTAATATATATATTTTTTAGGTTTTTGTGGTACTAGAGCCCTTAATCAGCGGTTTTCAGAAATGAAATAGGAAGAAAGAGAAGGGGAAAAGACACACGGCAAAGATCAAAAGCCTAGATGGCTGCTCTGATGGCTAATACACCTCTTAAATCATCCTTCTACCTTCAAATGATGCATCACCCCAAAAAATTTACAATAACTTTTAGTCAGAAGAGTAATGTTAGTAAAATTTTTTATATAAATTTAAAGCCCAACTTACAATTAAAATAATTGTATATCTTAATATACAATTAGATTCAATATGTATTCAGCAATGCAGCATTTAGTTTGGTATAAATTGAATTCATATCACTCCAATTGATTCTGATGTAGTACACTTGTATATGATTCAGTTCACACTATCAGGCCAAGTCCAATTAAAATATTAAGTATACAGTACTATAGCAACATTCATTTGAATTGATGGGATAATGCCAGCTATTAAACAGTTATTTAACCAAAGAAGCACCTTTCAGTCACTCCTGCTTCAGATTAGTTTACATAACGATTCAATTAACAATTAAATCAGTCAGACAGGAAACCAAAGCGTGAATGTCAGCTCAGTGACCTCAAATGTGGCAGAACCCTTAAGATCAAACTGTACAACACTGCACTGTCAAGCTACGTATCATAAACTACATATTTTCATGCTCAGAGTACGGTCAGAAAGAATGGAGTGGTGAGAACATAAGAAAACGAAACTGAATGAATGGATGAATGATCTTACCTATCCCCATCTAGACTTTTTCTGCTACCCCGTGGACAGTTTAGATTTGATGAATTAATACTTTCCCTGTTTAAACAACCAACAAAAAGAGGAAGAGAAAGAAAAAAAAGTGTGGAAAACAGCTACCCCTTAAATGTGAGATGACTGCCGCCTGAACATGAAAAAACTATGATTCTCTAACTAAATCCGTACTTTTTTGGTGGGGGATTATAAAAGCAATATAACAGAGAACTGTTCATCATGTAAACTCCTTTTCTTTATCTAATAACAATGTTGAACCAAACAAATGGCTTTAAAGCCAAATTACTGTTTAAAATGACAGCAGGAGTTCAGCAGAGAAGCAGGCACAGCAGAGAAAAAGTGGAATTACAAAGCTTTAGATTTAGGCATTTCCAGGAAAAGGGAATGAAACAACATAGATCATAAGGTTTGTGATACTTTATATAAAGGTTGAGCTCCAAGTGGCAGGAAAAGCTTCCAGAAGGAAAAGATAAAGAGGTTTGAGCAGGAATGCAGAGCAGAAGCAAGAAGTGAGGAGACAACAGATAGGAAGGTAGGCCTGATATACCTCTCTTCCTCTGGGGCCACATGTTCTACTAAGATCCTGGGGTTTGGGGAAGTCCTGTGGGGCAAAGAATTGGAACACGTAGAGGGGCAGGAGGAGGAGGTGGAGGAGGAGCTTTCCAGGGTGAGAACACCAGGAGATTTTATTAGTAAAAAACCATACATTTAAAGCATCTATCATGGCACAGAATCAGACAGCTAGCAGAGACATATAGAAAATCAGAACTACAAAAACATATTTAGAGAAAATAGGGATCATACTGTTTGACTGTGTCTATTTTTTACTATCATCAGGCTATTTTAGTAAGATGCAAAAAAAAATGTTTGAACACATGACCTGAACATTATATGTTGTAGTAAAGTAATATCAAAACAAACTAGCTTAGTTGGAAAACACCAAATCCACAAATTGTTCAAGACGTATGTAAAACTGGGAGTAGGCTTAAAAGGGTAGGCTTAAAACTTTCCTTTTTGATAAAGCTTATAGTTAGAGTGGCTCAGGTTATCATGAGCTATCTCTATAGTTATGCTGCTATAGGCTTAGACTGCTGGAGGACATATTAATTACACTTACTGTTACTGTGCAGGTAACCAGGTAGTTAGATATGACTATGTTATACAGTATAAACCACTGGATTTGGAAACATTAAGTCTGTCATAAAGGCAGACCAAGATATTAAAAAAATTAATAAATCAAATGAAATCCCCACAGTGCAATTCAATTTTAGCCTACCAGCCATAATAAACTGGAAAGGAGACAACAAGCAATCAGGCAATCGGAAACACTATCTATGACGTAATTTTGCAAAATAAAAAGATTGAAAACACATAATCCAAGCAGAGGCCAAGGTTTGCAATGCCCCATGTCTAGTTACTGCTGCCAGCATTATTTAAAAGCAAGATGCCAGAAGAAATAAAATAATTTGTATATTTGTTCGTTTTCCTAGGGAGCGCAAGCTAGCATCATCCTGATGGCATTAGACAGAATTTCTGACTAAGAATGTGGTCAGAATGACTCATGACCTGTTTAGGCTTTCAAAACACCTTGGTTTTCCAGGGAGAACCCAGATCTCAGCTGAACTCCACAGAGATTGTTTTTGCCTGTTTAAAACTAATAAAAGTGTTAATTTATTTTAGGTAATTTAGTTCTTTCTCCGCAGCTGCTGCAGCAAATTCATTCAGGGATAACACTTTCAAATACGTTTTGTTAATGACATCTCATATGGCTTTAATCTAGATTGCAAATATTGGGAAGATTTCTTAGCCTCTTAGGCAGCCATATATTTAAAAGATGGAGGAACTGAGAGTAGTCCAACTGTAGACCAACAAGGACATAGCTGACCACCAAAACTGTGAAGCAAGGTAAGGAGAGCAGTGGTCAGAGTAACTCTGAAGGGGCTGCAGTAATGCAGAGCTCAGGTGGCAGAAACTTCTGACATGTCAAGTATTAGGTATATGCTACAGAAATCTGGGCTTTGTGAGGGAGTGGCAGGAAGAAAGGCCTTTGCTATGTTTCTACCGATTTTCAAGAGAATTTCGAGCAAACTTTCAAAATCGTGCACACGGGAAAAAAAAAGAGAAAATTTTGAATTTGCTACTGTTTTAAAACTAAGTACTTAAGTTGCACAAGGCATAATTTCATCCAAAGATGGCTATGAGGCATTACTGTAACAAACAGGAAGTAGAGGTTGCAAACTGGCATAGATCACACAAATGAGAAAAATGGGGAGGGTTTTTCTAGGAAGGTGTTGCTACCAGCAAGTTGTGACTTTTCTTTAATGTCAACTAGTTTTGGGGATGTTAAATACTTCAATAAGATGTAGAAAAAGAAAAGCAATTCTACTGCATGCAGTAAAGGGAATGGAAATATCCAGGAAGAGGGTGCCATGGACACAACTGATAGTAATTAACTGAGAAAAAAGTTCACTATTTAACAATTTATTCTAAAAATGTATTTCCAACTCCTATATACCATATAATAAACGTTTTAAAACTTTTTTTTGCCTTTCCCCCCAAAAAAGTTTTAAAAAATCATGAAAATATTTTTGAATTTTGCTGTTTTCATTAACATTTTAAGTGCAATGTCTAAAATTGCGCATAAACATTAATGTAAATATGGCTTCTGATGAAAGAAAGCTATAAGAAACTGCTCTGCAGTTTACCTCAAAAGCTAGTCAAACTTCACACCTTTTGGGCTTCACGCAAAATGCAGTGTAAGCCAAAACTCACACGGCACATCAACCTTAACACAAAATCTCAAAAGGCAATCCCAGCATCATGCTATTGGGGACAGGAGAGCTGGACAGAGTTTATGGGAAAGATAAATGAAGCTAAACCGAATGAAAAACCTGTTTGAAGCTGAAAAAGTAGCAAGACTGGGTTGAAGTTCAGACTCCAGCAGGATTGACTGTAAACACACATGCGGAGTTGAAACTGAATGGTGTAAAGGCCATGTATTTGATATAAGGAAGTCTAAATTCAATCCCCTCCGACCCTCCTCAAAAAATATATATATTTAATTGCTCAATAACATCAGAATTTTGCAAGATGGTAATCAACATGGTACAACTTTAGTGTATGTGTCTATAGTTATAGTAGTATAGTATTGATCTGGTTGAACTGTAAAGTGCCTTGAGATTACTTGTGTTGTGAATTGGCACTATGTAAATAAACTGAATTGAATTGAATATAGTGTATGAATGTTTACTGATGCAAGCAGTTATATCTAACATGTGCATAATTCCATGGTAAGAATTTCGCCGCAAACTATAAAGATCTGAGTCCCATTAGGTCCAAAAGCGGGAATAGGTAAATCAACACTAATAAAAAAGAAAAAGAAAAATATGTAGCCTTTTTGTCAATGAAAAAAAAACATAAATACAAAATAAACACACTTGCAAAAAAAAACTGTTCAAGCTGAAGTAAAAAGACAAATCATTTATCATCCAGGAAAAGGGAAATGCTTGAAATGAAGGGTTCTTCATGAAGTTGGGAAAGAAAACATGTTACTACTGTAGGCAATGCACATGTCATTTAAAACATGCAGTATCTTCACAACAGAACTACTGAATGATACCATTCTTGAAAAAACATCTAAAAGTTAGAGTAAAAAAAACAACAACGAAAAATCTTGTTTTAGATCCAATTGTTTTTTTTTTTTACATGGTATGGATTTTATTAGGATACCTGTTTCTGTCAGAGGAGTGAAAGTTGGTGTCTGGTCTTAGACATGTGGTGCTGGCACTCCTTACTCTGTCCAGGGATGGCTGCAGGTCGCTGCAACGCCAAAACATGGCAGCAGAACGAGACAGGCAGAGAAACATAGATGGAAACATGATCAGCCAGATCCAGGGTGTGATGAGAAAGCAGTAAAATGATTTTTAAAAGCACAGGAAGGAGAGAGAACGGATGTAATTTAGACACCCATATGAGGAGAGACAGGTATTCAAAATGGGGAGCTTTCAAACTGCTGGGTAATATGAAATGGTTTTATCATAGGTAGTCATTGCTAGAAAGCAAGTAGCAGGAGATCATTTGAGATGGTAGGCTGGTTACTTGCCATGGAAACCAGTACTCAAAACTTTGACTGGAGTATGTAAATGATTTACTGATATTTTTTATGCATCTCAGCATTTGTCTCATGTCACTTTAGGACATCTTGTGATTTTAAAAGGACATTGTTACCTATCATTGCAAGAAATGAATTCTTAAAGTGGGTGCACTGTGCCTAATAAAGAACATGCAACCAAATAAAAACAAGACAAATCAGGAGTCATTGAATCAGATTCACAAATATGACAACATAAAAGAGCACTGGAATTTCAAAAAAAGGGGACAAGAAATAAAATGTAACTAATGTAGGTAGGGTTCACCTTCTCTTTTTGTTGGAATGAGGGATTTAGTCTAGAAATGGCAGCCATGCTGAGTAAGAAGGGGCTGCTATAAAAGCTTTATCTTTTTTAAATGTTAGTTTAAACTTGTGCTTTTCACTGTAACATTTGATGAGACGGTTTAAAAAGCAGATGTATATTTGCATCCACTCTGTCTATTTGCTGTATCTGGTTGGATTACAACTTCATTTGTGCATTTAATCATCTTTGTCTGTTAATCATCTGGAATAGTATTGAAATTAATAATTTATGGCAAAACAAATGTATAATCTGGTGTTAGCTAAAGAAAAAAAACAAATCTAAACATATAAAATCTCAATCTAAAAATATGAAAAATATGAAAAAGACAAGTGGAGCCGCCTTAGCTTCCACTAAATTAAACAAAAAAATTAATGCAATAGCTGTTGTTGCTACCACTTTTATAAGGCTGTAGATTTAAGGCTTTTGGCTTAGCTCATGAAAAACGAAAAATGTCTATTCTCTTAATTATTGTTTAGTATTCAGTCTGAATCATTGTGAGAATTTCCTCTTTGCTACGATGATCCTTCCACCTCACAGTTATTAAAATACTGATTAATCAGCATGATTAACGTACAGGTGTGCCTTGGCTTTAGCAGACCCCAACAAGCTTGATCACATACTTGCTGAAGATGTTTTTGTTGTATTTGCTAGATTTGATATGATAATATTTCACAAGAAAAGATGCAAGTCATTCCCCCCGATCGCATATCTCATTGTCAGTAGCCTACTTTCCAGAAATATCTGCAGCACCTTCTGTGTTGTACAGATCTTGAAAAACTCCCTGAAGGCTTGTCTTTAAATCAGTCTCAGACCCTTTCCCTAGGTTAGACTTTTTTTGACCATGAAATCCCTGCTTAAAAGTTAAATGCCGACTGTGGCTTGTTACTTCATTTCAGTTCAAAAATCTTAACCCAAAAAGGAAAATTGTTGGCAGATTTTAGGGAGACAAATGAAAATTTTACTAAAACTGTTTTATCAGCCTTAACCAGAGCTTATGAATGCCACTATATCAAGGGTTAACTGACTTTACATAAGATAAGCTGGAATATAGTAACTGATGTGCACACATGACAAACACATTTTAACATTGCTATGTAGACCTTGTTTATTTTCTGAAGATTGCAAAAGGAGAATGTAAGTTCAAAGCATGTTTAAAGGGACAGTGTGTAAGATTGACCTCCATCTAATGATACACTAAATAAATAACAAATGACCAACTGAGGCCCTGTTTCTAACATAAGGCCAAGATAAGGTTCACCTGAAATCTCAATGTGTGTCCTAAAGTCCATCTCCCCTCATACACTGTCTCCACACAGACATGGCTAAGCTAAGAGCTGAGCATTGCAGGTGCTCTGTTAATGTCTGCATCAAAAAAAATTTTTCTTCCTTCATCTGAGACTTATATATTTTGGATGGAAATCTACCTGCAAAAAATCAAAAAGTTTTGAATCTGTGTGTTAAGCGTTTCAAAGAAGATTTTTTTCACAGTATAGGCTACCAAAGCAGGCTTCTCTACATTCCGTAAATCGAAGACTGGATCAACACCAACCGTTTGTTGCAAAGCTTTTACGGATGGTCCTCATTGCAACAAAAAGTGTAAATGACCTACTGACATTTAGGCTTTTTAAAAAATCCTCCACTGACAACACATTTCAAAATACAGGAAAAAAAGTTGCCCCTTTCCGTCTACTCTGATCAAAAATAGAGACCCAACATGGCGTCTCCCATTTAGTGCACTGCCCCTGATATATATCTAAACTACCAAATTTAAGCTTTGAGAACACTTTCAATTCTTATGTTATCTTTTTAGACCTTCTCAGAATATTTATCTGCTATAGAAATACATGATTGTTGTTAATAAAAACTCACATTTATAACACACTGTCCCTTTAAATTTTTGCAGCCCAGGATAGGCTATCAGGCTAGAAGATGTAAAACCATGTTTCTGACTGGGGAAAGAATGAAAGTGGACATGTGTGGAATTGACTCTGTTCTTACCTAACCGTGACCTCGTCTGTGAACCTGAGCACACGGTGTGTGAGGATGCTACGAGGCAAGGTGCCGCCCCTCTCCTGCCTGGTATATGGTTTACTCTTTAGGCATGCAGGGAGGGTTGAGCTGTGTGCCAAACACCCGCATGCAAAGAAAGGCAAAGGAAATCCAAATGACGCATGCAAATGAGAAGATGAAGAAGCAACTAGGTGAAGAGCTATGAGATGAAAGTCCTCATCACAACATAAAACATAGAGCACACTGACATACTGATTCTTTTTTTTAAATCTTCTTTAGTTGGTTTTGTTTTGTCACTTGGACATATATCAGATTGTTAAAAATATTTAGTGTCAGCTAAAAGTTATTTTATGAGGGGAAAAAAAGAGAGGGAAAGAAAACTGAACCATATCCTTATTAAATCTTAACCTGTCCAAGTAGGCTAGAGCAGTACTGTGAAGAAGACAAACCATGCCCTCGATCAGAAGAATTCAGGAACAAATAATAATAACAAATCTTCTATCTTGAAATGGAAATGGAGAAGAAATGGAAAAGTGCTTAACCGTCCTAGAAATTGGAGGCCTCAAACTATTTTTCAAACAGCACGCTGCCAAATCATCCAGAAGGTCAGAAACAACACAGAACATCATCTAAAGGATGGACTGGACTTGCTCTCCTAGATGGCTTTGCAGACTGGTTGATGAGTGATTACCACCTTTCCTTTATTTAAAGATACAGTACTGTATGTTCACATTACAGACAAAATAACACTGCGACAAATATCAGCTCACTAAATTCTCTCCTTTTTACTCTGTATCTTAATGTATTAATGTGTTAATCTATAATACCACTATATATATATATATATATATATATATATATATATATATATATATATATATATATATATATATATATATATATATATATATATATATATATATATATATATATATATATATATATATATATATATATATTTTTTTTTTATTTTTTATTTTTTTTTTTTTTTTCACAGAAAGCTTACTGGCATCAAATACAGCTAGGACTGCAGCAACAGGTTCATAAAATGAATAAAAAAACAACTGTTCTAAGGGGCCCAGGTTGGACCAGCTCATGGGTTACAGGTGGGAAATAAGATATGAGGGTTGGAAATATGTTTGATGGAAATAAATTAATGATTAAGCTTATCTTTGATTTTTATTTATTTTTTTTCCCCCAAATGTTCTATGTAGGAATAAATTAGCAGAAATTAAAAACTTTCTTTTTTGTTCTATTAATATGACAAATAATCAATTATTAAGATAATAACTTCCAAGAAACATTTATAAACATATATAGTATAGTATATTGACATATATAGTAGGAGTGAAATAAATAAATGGAGGAATTATTGTGAAAACCATTAAAATGTTTGTCATAAAATACAGGAGGATTAATGACATTCAACACACCATCCCTTCGTCTAGTAAGATCTCTAAGTATAAAGGTGAGTTTGTTACTTTTACCATAATATTTTCTGAATAAATCTTTGAATAAAAATATAAAACTACTTGAAAAGCACCTCTTCACAAATTTTTCAGAAATAAATGAATACATAATGTTATTATCATTTATTTATTCTATTAAACTTGGGCAGAAGTGATAATGGTTAAATCTTTGCTAAGTTAAAATAAGCAAAATATTTTCAAATTAAAATGTTGTTTTTGAGAAATATACCTCTGCAATTAACCCATCCCCTTGGGGAGCAATGGGCTGCCATTGTGCGGTGCCTGGGGAGCAGTATGGGGTTAAGGGTCTTGCTCAGAGTGGCAGTCTGTGGGAGTGGGACTCAAACTCAGAACCTCAGGATTCCAAGCTCTATCCCCTAACCACTAGGCTGCCGCTCCTCTATACAACACCAATGATGAAACGGCCTATAATTGGTTAAAACATTTGTTTCTTATCCAATTAGATGTAAATTGGTTGTGTGATCCACTGATCAAAACTAATTTTTCTCATCAATGTAGTGTATGAAATGTTTTGTAGCCTAAGCACTCATGACTCTAACAGCTGTTGTCAAGGTTCTCCAACTGTTTTAGTCCATCTTGTCCAGGGATGTCAAACTCATTTTTATACTCATAATCAGGTCTTCAAATGGGCCAGTTGGAGCTGTGTGTATATAACTTTTATTTTGATCGTTTAATTTACAGAGACCACACCGAGTCAGTGTTTTAAATGTATTCCCATGCGTTTTTGCATTTTTAGCCCCTCTTTGCACGCCTCTACTTTATGCTTTGATATGCCTTTTTGGCTCTTGAGGGGCAGATAAATTGTCATGATGGTCAAAATTTGGTCCTTAAGTTTGACAAATAAGATCTACTCAATAAATGTTTAAAATTTATTTTAAAACCACAACATCTTCACTGAATAATGTGTTTCAATACTTTAATATGTTCCCTGACATGTCTGCATATATTTCAGAGATAACAGACTTTCTTTGTCTTTGAAGACTTTTTTTTGACATTTTTACAAACAAGGCTGCAACTAACGATTATTTTGCAAATCGAGTAATCTGTCTATTATTTTTCCGATTAATAATCTTATACCCAAAGTTCCCTTAAAGAAGATTTTTTTACGAAAATCAACCAGGTGAAACAAAACTTTCCACTTAAGGAGTTCTGGATATTGCATATTGACACGACTTTTTTTAAATTTTAAATAGAAGTGTTTTGTTTTTTTATACAATTTTGATATAATTACTGCTCTAAGTGGGTAAAAAAAGGCATGTTTTACAGTATCTATACTTCGGTTACAAATTAATTTATAACTAAATTAGTTGAAAATTATTTCAATAATCAATCAATCATGATTAATTCGATTAATTGTTTCAGCCCTAGTTACAAATCCCTTTAGCATTAGTATTTATTAACCTTGGTCAAATGGCATAAAAGCTGTAAAATGACTGGAATTAGCTTTAAAGAATAAGTGAAATATTAAATAGAAAGGTTATTCACATTTGACAATGGTGGCATCTGAATACCACCAAGTACATTTAATAAACCCTTATGCTATTTCATACTTTAGCAGTATTAGGGTTTTTATATTTAAAACTTGTGGAACACTTTGAACTTAAATTGGGACTCAAAGAGTAGATCTTTTGTGCCCAGTTTGACAAATATTTGGTTTGATCATTTAAAAAGAGTTCCTAGGATCAATTAAAGAATTTGAGCAGTAAACATGATCTGAGGTCACTCAGATTTTACTTCTATTAAATTTCCTTAGCTCATAAGGCCCAAATGTGAATCAGAGAAAAATTTATTTTATATGAAATCTTCACAAAATATATTGTATTTCAAGTATTCTTACTCATTGAAATATACTCATACCTCTTGATACAAAAATGGTATCATATAGATGGCACAAGATGGTTTGTGTATGACAGTACAACTAAAGAGGGAAGAGCTGAAAGGGCAACACATGGTGAAAACTGTCAATGGGGGGAATACACTCAGGACAAGTTAGGAAAAATAATAACCACAACACAAAAAAAACAAAGTGGAAGCCTTTTGATTCAGTAATTTCACAAATGAATAGTAAAAAAAATAGACAATCACAAAGTAAAGAAGGAAAGACAAAACTGCCTTCCGAGCGTGAAATGCTTACCTGTAAATGTCTTTATGGATACCATTTACTAAAAGGGGCATTTTGGGGGGGAGGGTGCTGTATCTACCTATCGTCCTGGTTGAACGAGTAGGAATCATGCACATTGAAAGCAAGCAAGAAAAAAGCGGAAAATAGAGAAAACATCTCAGACAAAATGCTAGGAAATGAGAAAGAAAGCTTTGTCCCCTTTGAGGTCAGGGATAGGGTAGGCATCTTATCCACATGTATATCGATAGATTTGTTTTGTACTTTCTTATCAGACAGCAAGATCGTAGACAAAAAGTGTGCTGCATCCTCTTGTTACAAATGCAAGATATTTTGATTATATTTGGGTGTTAAAAATTCGGAAAAATTTAACATATTTCTTTTACACCAAGAACCTTTGTTAAGATGGAGTTGTTAAGATATGATGGCAACCACTAAAACCCAGCTGAATGGGGGTTATACCTGTTGGTGTGCAGGCACTCAGCACTCCCGCCTCGTATTGATCTGTGCATCTCCAGGACCTCGCTGTCATGACGATGGGTAAACGAATGATAAACAACCCAGGGGAGCACAAAACAAACAGGATGGCAAAACAGATGAGCAAAGTGGATTTATGAATGATAGAAAGCAGGAAAAAATAATTCACATATAATAGTCATGTCTATAACAAATACAGTTAGTAGTATTAGTGAAATTAGTTAGATGAAATCAGATTGAAATTGGAACCAATTAAGAAAATTATCTTCAGATGTCAAATCAATCAACAGATGTCACAGATAAATTACTGTTTAATACATTGAAGTTTCAAAACATGTTAATATTTGGTTACCTGTCCTCTGAATACTCATAATCTGAGTCGCCGGAGCGCTGGTGCTCCAGGGAAGACTCGTGGTAATGGGACGGGGAATGGGAGTGGTGGCGGTTATGGTGAATCTCATCCAAACTCCTGAAGAAATAAATAAATTTATACTTAAAAATCAATTCATTGTAATAAGTTAAATATAACAGCTGATTTTTTTTTAGTTCTGATACACTACAGATTGAGAGAAAAATTATAAGTACTGCAAATAAAAAAGCATGTAGAAAAATATTTTTTGGATTTCTGGTAGCTTAAGAGATATCTTATATCTTAGGTAACATATACGGTGGCTTGTAAGTCAGTAATTTTATGAAGAGAACACACGTAATAATGACACAGCAAAAATTAACACACCATTTTCCAAATGTTCTTATAAATAAATACAGCTTTGCATATGCAGACACTGATATTTTCCACATTCTTTGCAAAAATAATTTAAACCCAGTGAGATTAAATGGCATAGTAAATATACATGTTAATCCCAACCAAAGATTCTAAAGTAGATATAGGTCTATACCTTGAATGGGCCAGACCTATTAATATGGTTTTATTTAAAGCAGAGAAGTTTACAAGTCAATTCTTCAAAGTCTTAAAAAGGGAATTTAAATCAACATAAGTTATAACATAAGAATATTTTATAACTGTCTTTTAAATTATTTTAAGTTTTTAAAAGTTAACTATTAATCAATTACCCTTTAATCCAGCAATAAAATAATATAAAGGTGTCTTTATGTCATCTTCAAATAGTCCAGGTTTAAGACTTTCCTTTTAGAAATATAAATAGTGGAGAGGTGGAGCCTCTTTTTTTTTTTTTATTATTATTACAGCTTACACATTAGGTAAAAAATAGCTACTTTCTTTTTAACCTTTTTAAATAAGAGGCTTTAAAGTTCTTTAATCAAGTCAAAATTAGAACTGTGTTTTGGTTTTACAACATTTTAAACACACAAGAGGCCATTTCAAATTTTAAAAAAGCTGGAAACTAAATTGTCTAAATGATTATGTCATAAATAATGCAGCACTTTTATAAATACAATAAAGGCCCACAGACAGAAACCTAAAACAGCAAAAGGCTGAAGAGAAGGTTTCAGTATTGCTTTGCTTAAACACTCAACATATATGCAGTGGTGAAAGTCACGTAGTTACTGCTGAGGCAAGCTGACCTTTGCATGGGCACATGTGGCGGCCGAGATCGAGCCCTGCAGGAGTCCTCCCTGTGAGGAGACACTGAGCGGGAGCGGTGCTGGATGGGGCGCTGCTGCTCCGGGACAGCCAATGTACTACTTCTATCTCTCTCACGGGAGTTACGCTCTCCACCTACACACATACACACCGTGGTGCGGGCACACAGCGAGAGAAAATAATGAAGGCAAGTTTTGGCATTAATATGGATAAAAACTCTAATAGTATATGAGGAATAAAAACAGTTAACCAACTTAAACCAGAGATGTTCATTTCATTTAAAAATAAGCCTCAGTTCAGAGTTTTCTTCTACGCACTACAACTACTACTACAGTTGGAAATCTCTTGCTGAATGTAGAACATCACATCACGATGTTTTACAAGCAAATAAAATGCCTGGCTGTTTTTGCAGTGGCTGTCAGACCAGAGATCTAAAGAATTATAATTTTGTTTGTGCTCTCAAATAAAGTAAGCTATACCAAATTCAGAGAAAACTAATTTTTATTGCCCATGAAGGAAAAAAGAGAAATATGTTTCAATTCAAAGAACATGTTGCAGCTTTATGTATGCATGTACGTATTTGTGGAAAAAAATAACATGGATTTTCCTGTAATTCTATATTTACTATATTTAAAATATTTCTGCTTCTTCACACTAACTCTTTTTTCATTTAAGTGGAATTCTTTTTATTAATTTAATTTTTAAGAGTATATTTATGCTTTATTTTTTCCTGTTATCATGCAGTAATCACCCTTCCCAGTCCTTATGCTTCCTGGTTTTTGTATAATTATGTTGACTTCATCCTTTCCTCCTGGCTTAACTTGTATTTTTTTTGCTGTGTTTTATTTTTCCTTTCATCTAGAAATGCACAAAATAACTCTTACAGTGAACAGGTACGACTCAATGATCAGGTGCTCAATATACTGGTAAGAACTAAAGCCACTGTAGAAACAGGCAGACAGCAAAGATGTTCGACTTCTTTTTCCGGTAAAAGAATAAAAAATAAAATACATACAACATCATAAAATAGACTTAATCCTCATTTGTGCATGATGTCTGTGTTGAAGGACTAAAAGCATGCAAGGGATTAAAAGTAAGTGAAATGGCATAGAAAGAAAAAAGGAGCTCTGCAGTCTATCATGCACTCCGTTCTTTACTAAGTCTATGGTCCAGCAGAGGAGGAGAAACTGGAGCTTCTGGAAAGGTCAATACAAACTGAAGGGCTAAAGATCACCGTGACGTGATGCTTTGCTGCAGGCTATGATGAGTAATAAAAATCTCACAACAGAATTTTGTATTTTACTAGCTGGGTGCAAATTGAAGTAAACATTTCAGTTATTACAAGAAGTAGCTTCTCACCAAGTGCTGGACAACTAAGAGGTACTACAAAGAAAGACTCGGTAATCATGCCCCCCACCCACCTTTAGTCCCACCTATCAAACCATCATCAAACTCTGTATCAATGATGCGATGAGACCCTGTATACACAGACACGCACCCACCCACACACACAGACACACACACACACACACACACACACACAGACAGGGTGAGACGGGGTAAGGCTGAGAAGTTTTGACACAGGAGAAAGCTCAGAAGAAGGACAGGTTAACTGGTTCAGACTCAAACAAATCATAAATCCAATGATATATGGCTAAGAAGACGACTGGCTGCTGAGGGACGTACTTTGTAACTTCTTGCTCGGACTGTCCCCATGGACATGTCGGCGTGGAAGATATGGAGAGGGCTGAGGCAGAGGTATGGAGGACACATCATGAGTCTGGAGTTTGTACCAGTGAGCCGTGTCGTCCAATAAGGCTGTCTCAAGCTCTATAAGGATCTGACAAGAAATATGAGAAAAACAGGCTGAGAATGTTGGAAAATAAGAGCTTAGAATCAGAAACGTTTAACTATCCGATAATGGGGTTTTGTTTTCATATTCTAAGAATGATGGTAGGATTTTTATCCTAATCAACCTTTATTTGACATGTAGGGAAAACCAACCTGAGAGCATCAGCTATTGTTCCATCAACTGCAACAAAAAATGTCTTGATAAAATTTCAAAAAGTAATAAAAAAAGTGTTGATATATTTTAATATCCAGAAATCTATTTTATGTTTCTCTCTGTACTGACAGGTCAAGTGTGTTTGTTTAACATGGTTTCTATGAAAGGCCTAAAACCTATAGGACTTAAAAATATGATAATAAATAGAAAATGGTGTTAGCGCCTCACTTCCATTTGATGCCCTGAAGTGTTTTCGTTTTATTGGATGTTTTATTTTATAATTTGTTTTATTGGCTGATTATTTTACTTCTTTTGTGCATTCTCTGATCATTTCTAAACTACTGTGTTGAATGACGTTTTTGGAAATTTAATATTTGTGACTTTGCTTTGTATCGTATGTTTTTAATCTGGACCCCAGTAAGCTAGCGGTTTGCCATGGAAACAACTAATGGGGATTCTTCATAAAGTTACAAAATGACTTCAGTTTCAGGCTGTAATAAAATTTGTATTTTTTATCATCATTTGACTCCAACTTAGTACTGGAAACCCTATTTGCTTCATAAATTGCCTGAAATTCATTTGAAGGGGTAACTGAATACTTTTCAGCCTCTGAGATCAATAGGTAAAACTCATTCTGCACACACAGATATAATTCATTTGCCTTGTTTGGTTTATTATGATCATAAAGATTCAAAATAATCAAAACCCCCAAATTTACTTGCCAAAAGGACTAATTATTGTAATGATAATTCACCTTTTAAATGATTTAAAAGAGACAGGAGAAAGGAAATCGAAATAACTTTAGCGTGTACTTCACATCTTCTCAAATTCAAGCATCGAGTACTTGAGAGCAAAAACTAAAAATGTATTTGATTGATTGATTGTTAGTTCAATCTCTAACGTTATGCTCTCTCTGCCTTTTATCATAGTAGCTTCGCCTCGTCTGTTCCTGTTTGGCTGTGACACCATCCTAGAGAGAAATATCAGCTGTGCTGCTTCCATCAACACCCTTGTTTATAGATGCTGGAGATCGGCCTGTTTTCCAGTGTAGTCCTGTTTCTCTGACCTTAACTGGCTGGATGTTCTCTCTTCATCCTCTGACATGGGAGCTGGCTGAGAGCTTGTCTGCCTGGCTGTGTGTTTCCTGGATGGAACCGCCTTTTACAGTTGCTTTTGTATCTCTGCTTCTGTCTCCTTGAACCCCAGCAGAACCACTGAGCCTGGTTCTGCTGGAGGTTTCTTCCTGTTAAAAGGGAGTCTTTCCTCTCAACTGTCGCTACAAGCATGCTTAGTGTGAGGGATTGCATTTGAGTCCATGAGTCGATGCAATCAACTGGTTTTCCTTAGATAGAAAACTTTGAATCAATTTGACTGTATGATCTGGTTGAACTGTAAAGTGCTTTGGGATAACATGTGTTGTGAATTGGCGCTATATAAATAAAGTGAATTGAATTGAATTATTTAACTGTAGATGCTAAAGTTTTTTTTTTTTTTTATGGAAATATCCAATCAACTGAACACATCTAGATTAGAATCAATGTCAAGTTACAATATTTAGTATTCAATCTCAATATAACTAGTGCTTAATTTTTGCTAAAGTACAGTATGCACAATAAGGAATAAAACAATATGATACATGTGATATTTAGATGAATCTGTATGTACTATATTTGCCATACAGACATTGTGAAGTGTCACAAACCTCGCCTAGAAATTCACTTTCTTCCTCCTGCACTCGGGGCTGATCCCAGACGGTGATCTCCAGCATGCGCTCTCTAAAGTCCCGCCGGTGGACATGGGAATATATGAAAGTTTGGTTCCACTTTGGCTCTGAGCTCTTCTTCACTGTTTTTGTCCGTCGTTTACTTTTGTCACTGAACACAGACACGCAAGAAAAAAAAGAAGAATTTCAAGCGGATAATAAAAGGTGAAGTCATTTTTAACTAGGCAGAGTTACAAAGTAAGAGAAAATACATTTAATTTGCTTACCTCCTGTCAGGTAGGAAATACATTTTGACATACGGGTTCCGAGGTCGGCCGTCTGGTCGAGGTGGCAGGTCTATGGCTTGAAGGACGTTGACAATCAACTGGTGACCCACTTTGTCGTACCACAGCTTCACCTAAAACATGTTAAGATGTTCAAAAGTGGTAATCCTTCTCTGAAAACACTAATCAAACTCTTTTTTCTTTACTTACAGAGAGCTGTCCAGGTAGCACAAGAGGAAGCTCTCGAAGGGTGCCAGGGCTGGTAGGTGACATCACCGATATAGAGGGACGATCCATCATCTGTGACTCAAAGGAGCTCGAGCCAGCTGTGAGATGAAAAAGTTCTTATTTCTACGACTATCGAGTAAACAGAATAAAGAACTAGAAGATTTTTTTATGGAAAGTTTAAATTTGCCTGCCTTTGGGGGTACAGTAGCAGCCATTCAAAATGGCCCTTCCCAGTCAAATGCCAGCCAAATGGCAGCCAACTTCAAGCCACTGGAGATACCCCCTCCTTCTCCTCAGAAGGCATATTTTTTTACTCTGACTCCATCCTTTCACTGAATTACAGGGTCTAACCAGGAGAAGGCGCTTCTCTTTAGATCTTAATGTCCACAAATCATGACAAAGATTATTTTAGTACAAAGATGATTTAAAAAAAAGGGCATCTTAGGGGATCAGCCAAGGGCCCATCAAGGAACATGGGGAAATTTTGTAAGGCTACTACTGTACAAACTCAAATAGTAATACGTTTTTTTCCAGCACGAACTTTGCATCAGATTTGAGCTTGAAAGACTATTAGTTACACAGGAAGCATGGTTACAAAAATAAAGCAATTAATAAGCAAGAAAAAGGGATGTTTACTCCTAGTTTTAAAAACACAACTTAAAACAAGATTCTAGGTTTTGTCACTTGGATACACTGTTGATTAAATTTTTTTAGAATAGAAAAAACGTTATTGTCTACCATACACAATAATGGCAGACATTTGCCTTAGGATTGCTCACACACAGCAATGCACAAAAAATACATTAACATACAATAAAAAAAAAAAAAAAGAGTTCATTTCAAACTCAGCAGCAGCAGCAGATTCACTGTATCAAGGGAAGGGAAGCAGAGCAGACCGAGTGACATTTATAACTTGTTCAGCTCCTTGAGGGCAAAAAAGAATTTCTGTACACAAATTTCTTTCTTATTTACATGAATAAGAAAGATATTTTCTCAAAGCGTACGCATTTTAATAGAAAAACCCCAAAATCCTGTCATTGCATTACACTGTCTTAGGCCATGATATACCATATTTTCTGGAATATTTGCACACCTCAATATAAGCTGCTCCCACATAATTTTTTGTAAAAACTGGAAACTTACATATTTAAGCTATGTTGGGCTACAAACCGCTGATATCTACTGAACTGTCTCCCACCAAATCTGCAGGAGGATCTCTACTTAAAGACCCTCGAGTAGGGAGGAATGCTAGCTTCTGTTATCTTGTTGGCTTGCAGCAGTAAAAGCTTCTAATGAAAAACAGGGCTTTGTCAATTCTTTATTTCAGCTCTGCAGGAGTTGAGCCCAGTCTCCTCATTGGTTGAGCAGCATTAATGCTGCAAATAAATGTCAAAATGTGTGAAATGTGTTTATTCGGGGAATTTTTTTTCCTACTCCTTACATGTTCATGTGCTAAATGAAAATCAGCCCCTTAGTCTTTCAATTCTAACTTTGACTTCCCCCTCTGGCGGTTAGGAAAAATCCACAGAAAATCTGCATGTTCTTATAAGCTGCAGGGTTCAAAGCGTGGGGAAAAAGTAGGGACTTTTTTTGGTAGAAACTCAAGAAGTCATTAAAACAAGTATGTGACAGAAAATATAAGAAGCACTTACTGGATTCTAGTGGAGGGTGAGGGGACCCTGGGATTCTTGGAATGTCTCTGTAAAGGGTAACTGGTCAGAATGCATTCAAATTCACATACACTATACTATTCATTGTTGACATGAGCATATCAAACTGCTCCTGTTTTGCAAAATGATGAAAATTGGCTACAGCTAGATTGTGAAGAACGAAAAGTCCATCCATGGAAACAAGGTTAGGCAACAGTGGATAAGAGATGAAAAAGACAAAACATCTGGAAAAGAGGATTTTTTTTTCTGTCGGATCATAAGGATTTCAGGGAGGACACAGGATAAAGGGGCTCCTCCCATTAAATCTACTTACTGATATGCTTTATAGACTTTTCTCAAAAGGTTTTTGGACACAATTCGACTGATGGAGCTTTTATACAAGAGGAAAAAATATCAAAAGCATCTTTCAGAATATTGTCCACATAGTTACTGCTCTCCTTTAAATTGAATAAATACATATTGATTTTCAGCCTTACCCTATTGGCCTTGAAACTACGATCTCCACTTGAGGTTCAGCTTTGGATTCAAGAATGATGTTGTACACTTCTTTCTTGGTTGCCCCTGGCAATGACTTCCCATTCCACTGTAAGACCTCATCACCTGGAAATTTGACAAAAAAAGAGATGGTTTACCCAGAGGTCCATGTTGAATTTGTTTCTCATGTCTAAATGTTTACCGCAAAAGACAAATAAATGTGTTAGAAACTTTTGCTCCTTTAGGAAAATGACAAATAACACCATGAAGGTGGTTTATTAAGGAGGCCAAGTTAGAGTTTTCACAAAGCTGTATAATGATCAACACTGTAATTTCTAAGTGCATTTAAAAAATTGAATCAAAATTAATTTTGACCAGTTACACCTGTGTGTGAATAATCTTGGCTTAATTAAAGAGGGTTGGTATATAAACACCTTTTCACAAGCTTTTAGTCATTTCAAATAGCTCTGTTCAATCCATCATGTAAAAATGGAAAGAGTTGAGACCTACAGATAGGGATGTCCCGATGCATCTTTTTCATTTTTGAAACAATACCGATATTGCAGCTTTGAGAATTGGCCGATACCAATATTGACACGAAACGTTTCAGAAGCTTTAAAAAGAGCAGAGTGTTTCAATCAGCATGACAATATCAGAGATTTTAGATACCAACCTTTAAAATCTGATATCAGTTTTTGGGCTAATATTGAACCGATATACAATATTAATATCGGAAATATCGGAATATCGGAAATTCACTACCTTTGAATAAATTCATAAAAGATCCAGAAAAACTTAACTGGAGGAGCTGTAGAGACTCACAGTTTAGGTGGGAAAATATGTTGACAGAAAATCAATCAGTTTTGCACTTTATTCTTTTCTTCCATCAAAGAGTAGGAAGAAAAAAGTCATTGTAGAAAGCAATGGAAAGAAAGTCCCACTTGCAGTTGAACACAAGTCATCGGGGGAATACAAATGTTGATGGAGATTTGAAATGTGGGAAGCTTTTTCTCTTGGCAGCTGTAATAAGATAAGCTACCACAAGCTTCAAGGATGTGAATAGTTATCATAGTGAATATCTGGGTGTAAAAATTGAATGCTGAGCTGTCAGAAGCCCTCCAACTGCTAATCTATAGCGTTTTACTTTCCTTCACGTAACTGATACTGAGCAAACTTAAACTTAACCACCATTGTTATGTGTAAAGGAGATAAAGGTGGATTATATATATATCAAGAAAATTATTATTTTGAGGAAATAGATGCTGAACGATAGTTAACTATATCTGTCACTACTACTATTCCACCAAGGCAACAAGCACCTGTGTAATCTTCAATCAGCCTGTGTAAGAGTGATGCACCAGTGTATTCTCATTATGAGTTCGTATGAAATCGTACGAAAAGTTATGCACCGTAATTTCGTACGTTTTGGACGTTTTTTCGTTGTATGCACATCTGACGCACCATTCACGAATATAGAATATAAATTCCAATTAGCCCTAACCCTGACCCTAACCCTAAGATATAAAACAGCAAGCAACGTAGTTAGAGACATGAATAAGTGATGATTGCACTGTTTTTCCCAGTTTTACGTTCTTCCCGCGGATCTGCTTTTTTTTTCTGTCTGCCAGCGCATGCGCACTGATGTGGTTTTTTGAGGAAAAACGTCCAAAACGTACAAAATAGTGTGCATAACTTTTCGTACGATTTCATATGAACTGATAATGAGATTATATTGAATATGTTGGATGCACATGTAAACTGTTCGGGGTAGGTACAGTCACCTCACTTGGTGCTTACACTTTAAAATAACCATAATAATAATAATAATTCATACATGGTAAAGAGACAATGTATTAATGATTAACTGATTGTGATAATCATTAACTGTTTGCTAATGTTTGATTCATTTATTAACTGCATCTAAACCATTTATTAAAGGTAAATACAGCATGTATTAAGGTACTAAAATTAGCTGATATTAGAATTAGGGCTAAGCTAACATGGCACGGAAATGGGCTCTATACACAACTACACCACTTCCTGAACTTAAGGAGGCAGTTTTGTTTTCTGTCTTTTTCTACTGGATGAACTGATTAACCCAGGTGTGCCTGACCTCAGTAACCATGGCCAGACACACCTGGATTAATCAGTTCATCCAGTAATGAAAGATAGGAAGAAGAAAAAGAACTGTCTTAAGTTTAGGAGGTAGTAGAGTTGTGCATAGAGCCCTTATGATCTATTTACCTTAAATAAATTAGACAGATTACCAAAAATTAACAATCTGATAATCATTCATAAATAGTCTCTTTACCATTTATAAACAATGATAATAATGGTTACTGTGAAGTGTTACCGACTTTGTTTAAAGACCGTTGTTATACTTAATTATATTATATTAATATTAACATTAATAGTTTCAACAAAATATTTCACAAAGAATTCCTTTTAAAAAGGCAAATTATGACAGTGTATAGATAGTAATAGTGTATGATGTGTTTGAAGACAATGCATTTTGTCAATCATTCTGATATATTCTCCAGCTTATAAGATACAGGGTGATAGTAGAAGTGAATACATAAAAAGCATATCAAAGAGCATGAGAAATCATGACTGACCCAATAATGTATTATATTTGGTAAATTTTCAGCAGCAAACTAAATCTTTTTTGATCCAATAAATATTAAAAAACATTTTTGTCTGCTTGCTAAAACATTTACCTGCACTATACAAAAAAAATATTTGAAGTATTTCCTAATAAGGTGAGTGATTACTGTAGACTACTGAGTCTACTTATGTGGAAAACATCGTTGGGATAAAAAGCGATGTGTGAAGCTGATCTTTACCTGCACGTAGATGCCCCACAACATCTGCTAGGCTGCCTTTTTTGACTTTGGTGATGAAGGCCCCAAGTCTTCCAGACTCTGTGATCTTTCCCCCAACAACCTGCACACAAAGGTAGGATATAAGGTGCTCTGCAGGTTTAGGTGTTTAGCCACAGTTTACTGTAGGTGGCACATAAACCAGGAGATGCCAGGTTTAAACGTGTCTATCACTTTTTCATTCTTGCTAAATAATATTTTTCTGTTTTTATTTTTTATTTTTTTTGTTATTAGGCAAAAAGTGGTAGTTGAATTAAAAAAATAGAAACCTTCATTTATGCATTGTGGTTCAGAAAGAAAATTCTTTGTCCCACCAACCAAACAGTAAAACCTACGAAAGTGTTCATAAAGATAGCATTGATTTGGATGATTCTTAAAATGTAAATTGGGGTGGCTCTTATGTCCAGCATGGATAAATAGTTAAAGTATAGTGGAGGATTTTCGCAACTTTTTGAAAAGACCCGCCCACCTAAAACAAAAAAATTCACATGCACAACCATGTACCCGCTCACAAGAGGGAACACCTATCAAAAGCGAGGGAGAGCATGCACAAGCCTATTTCCCTTCATGCACACTCTGTTAAAAGCTGCTGTTTATATCGCTCATACGTACAAGCATACTTTCCAAAAGAAGATTTGCAATTTTTCCGCTATGTCTGACTCACCACTGGTAAGTGAAAATGTGGACAAGCACATAGGACAGGCTTATGTTAACATATCACCAGAATGACTGAAAATTAGGAGGACCACTTATTTAGATGATCCACATGGAAAAAGAACATCCTCTACTATACCTTTCAATGACACCTACTGCTAGTCTTCTACATCTCATTCAAAAATCATCTCCTTGGTGTATTCAATATTAGAGACTCTTGGTTCAGACCATATCACTAAGCTTTCATCATTTGTAGGCGTCCATCCTTGATTAGTGATCACTAATTCACTCATTAAGGCTAATGATGCACAGTCATTGATTAACAGCTTTCTAAGAACAACTTGTTCCTTGAAGTATCCCAGCAGGGCTAGAGGGTTGGACAGCAAATGCAGATAAAGACCTTAACAATTGGCATAAGACTTCTGGCACATAATATTAACTGTGTAGCTGTCTCAACAGATTTTACACTAAACTCGTATTGTCCTATCCTGGTTTTCCACATCTTTTTTTAAACACAAATAAGCCTGAAATATCCATGCATACAGATTATCATTTCAAATTATGAGGGTTCAACTAAACAGCTGTTTTCTAGGGGCAGACATTTATTTAAAAAAATATTTGCATGTGTATAATGTTCAATTATTTCTAAAACCAGAAGTACAGCACACTTTAAACTTTAAAGAAACAATATTCTCTGAATGCAAAAGAGATTGTGCTCTTACTTTTAGACCCAGCAGGGAGCCAGCCTCTCGGGGCACGGCCGACCGCTTGCTTAAAGTGATGCGCCCAATCAGGTGGTCACCCTCTTTGGACGGCTGCCATGTAACTGGGTGCTGCAAGGGCAGAAAACAGATGAAAACTGAGAGGGAGACTTGTAATGAAAGTAATCGCATGTAAAATTACAAAAGTTTAACTAACTGTGATTCTTAATTAATTTTACTTTAAGGTTTAGCTTGTGAGCAAAATGTAAGTTTTTCAACTTACCACAGTGGGTAGTTATAATATTCAATACTTACATGCCACACTGTAGGATCTAAAGGGTGACAGTCCAAGTCCCCTGTTGGGACAGAAGAAGAAGAACAGTTTAGTTATCATTTAGAAATAGAAACGTTTGCTTCCTAAATGTTAAAAAAGTTGCTTCTTTCCAAACGATAAAATAAAATAAAATACATACCTGCATAAATAAGACTAGACTAATTCTTGCATCAAGCATTTGATTGTATACCTGGCAGGGGTACAATCAACTACTTATATCTATAAGGATCATCAGACCTTTTTATACAATTTACGTATAATTATAGATGATGAATCATTCTTCTGCTTCCAGCAGAAGAAACAGACAAATCGATGGTAGACTGTTAAGAGCAAATCAACAGAACATTTTCTTCCTCCTGCCCCGAGCTAACAGGCTGCCCTGCCCTCTTGACCAACAGCTTCAAGTAGCACCTTAGCTGTCTTATCTTCATCCTCAGTCATCCATCCAGCTGCTTCTCTATCATTGTCTCCTGACACATCAAGAGATGTCTGTCATTTGTATTTGGGTAAAAAGTCAGCTACAGAGAGGGAACCAGAACAGGACTGTAGGTCCAAATTAGATCCGAATGAGGGGAAGATGGAGCGGGAGATTGACAATATTTGTTCTCTGAAGTTTTGATTGTGATTACTTTTGATCCATGATCAATGCTACATGACTAGTGGGACTGTGATTGTTTATTCCATGATTCTATGATGAAGAAACAGTGCTTAAGGTTTTCCTTCTATTTTATATCCAGGTCAGGAACAGACAATAATGGGTTTGCGGACATACAAGGTTTGTTAAAAGGTGACTTTGAAAAGGTCAGCTTTTCAGGGGGAATTGTTAGAATAATTATCATTAATGATGTGTGAGTTAATAACACCCTAATATTACCTGCCTGTTGTGTGTCGGAACTAATGTTTTCCCAGTAGTTTATCTAATTCTAATTGTCTCAGACAATGGGGAACAGAAAATGAGGTGCTAGAAGTTCTGTCATGGGAGGATAAGCCCCTACACGGGATGTACCACTGAAACATAAACAAAGTGGCGGATATCAGAAAATCCTACCAATGGCTAGACAAAGCCAGACTCAAGGACAGCACAGAGGCACGGCTGCACATGAGCAGGCCCTGAGCATCAGAGCATAGAAGCCCCAGATCTACCACATCAGGCAAGACTCCAGGTATAGGCTGTTCAAAGAAGCCCCTGAGACAATCCAGCACATAACTGCAGGGTGTACGATGCCAGCAGGGAAAGCTTACATGGAGTGCCATAACCAAGTGGCTGGAATAGTGTACAGGAACATCTGTGCAGAGTATGGGCTGGAAACCCCAAGGTCAAAGTGGGAAACACCCCCAAAGATGGTAGAGAATGACCACGCCAAGATCCTGTGGGACTTCCAGATATAGATGGAGCAAATGGTAATGGCAAACCAACCGGACATTGTGGTGGTGGACAAAAAGTAGAGGAAAGCCATTGTGGTTGACAATGACAAGTGACTGCAGCATCAGGGAAAAGGAGCACAAGAGACTAGAGAAATACTAGGGGCTCAGAGAAGAGCTGGAGAAAACATGGAAGGTCAAGGCATCAGCGTTACCCATGGTGCCCATTGGGGCACTAGGAGCAGTGACCCCCAAAGTTGAGGAGTGGTTACAGGGGATCCCTGTAAATACATCAGACATCTCGGTCCAGAAAAGTGCAGTTCTAGGAACAGCAAAGATACTGTGCAGAATCATCAAGCTCCCAGGCCTCTGGTAGAGAACCCAACCTATCCCCACCAACTTTGGTCTTGTGGGGACAGTCCCCACCAATCATTTCAGCTTTTTACCCCCTTTCCGCTCATTTACTTTAGCCAAAGGTAACAGAGGTTGTGTGCTGCTATCTGTGTTCAGAGTGTTTTCAGTTTTGTTTTTTTTTGCCACCAAAAAATCAGTTTGTTAGACATACAGAGCTTTTTCAGTTACAAGTTAATATTAAAATGCAGGAAGTTTGAGAAAACATAGCTTAAATGTTGTGTTTTTCCTTACTACCGTAGTTAAAAAACCTTGGCTTCTCAAAGGACCACAACTCACAGTTACAGGTTAAAATTAACACGTTTTCTTGTTGTACAGACAGAATCAGACTGCAGAGCTTCTACATATCTTAAAATTTTGTTTCTGGCATCATCATATTAGTAAAGAGGTTCATAAATCTTTTTAAACAGGGCACAGAGAGAAGCAGGGAGAGCTGCAGATTTAAAGGTGAAACAAGTTTATTGGGATATGCAACATGCAATAAAATATATCTCAGGGTTTACCAGAAAGTTTACAAGAAAAAAAATATGCTATGCTATAGATAAAATGAAGCATATCCATATTTTTCTGGATGGAATTGAAATTGTACATTCTAGGGATGCATGATTTATCATGGCTGTTATTCGTTATTGTTTGTGCCCTATAATGTAATGCACTAAAAGGCATCTCTCTAACTATCTATAAATATAAATATCAGTGAATTATGAAAACCTAATGAAGGCGTTCGGGTCAAGTAGCTGTAGGTCCATCAACCACCACCCGAGTGTCCCCACCAACTTTCATTACAAAGTTACACCCTTGCTATACACATGCAAATGCATGCTATACATATACAAATATATATTTATATACACATATATTTATATATTTGCAGTTAAATATGTATATATATATATATATATATATATAGTTTTTCATATATATATATATTTATATGTATATATATATATATATATATATATATATATATATATATACATGTAGATTTATTTAGACATTTAGATAGTTAAATATACATATATATTGATATTGTTATATATATATATATTATGTATATATAGTTGTTATATATTGCCATATATTGTATAGTTTTAGAAATCCTTATTCAAACTTTTTAGAAATCAGGGTGTTGTAAGCAATTTTTTCTGCTTCCATCCCTTCCAGTTCACAGTATCTCTTGTGTGAAAACCGTAAAAAAACAGTAACTGTGAAACATGAGGATAATCAATTTTAAAATCCTACTTATGAAAGTTAATTCAACTGGATGTGGTTTGTGGTCTCCCTTTATTTGCAACCATAGACAGAATAAAAGTCCGTCATCCTGAGAGGTAGCTCTGGAAGTTTTCTAACTGTTAATACAAAATCGAAATTATGTAATATATTAAACAATAATTTATATCAATCAGTTGGTTCCATGTAGCCCATGAAATTTTGATGTTTACAGTCAGCCAATTTATCTGAAAATTGATTAAGAGTTCATTGGAGTCTCAGAAGTCATAAGGTAGGCTTTGCCTAGATTGACATGTATTGTCTCTGACGGCAGCTTGGTCTGACCTAAGATGGCCGCTCAGTTGGCACGTCTCTCACCCAATGACGCAGGGTATATCCTTGTCTATGGCTGTTTCAACAAAAATTGACTGAAGACCAGGAGCTGTTGGACCACTCCCTGACCAGTCATTTATCTCAAAGCAAATATGCCTATTATTGACATTATAGTTTAAGCAGAAGCTAAATATGCCTGCACCTGGACCGTTTAAAGTAATATTTTAATTGTGTATACGAGTTTGTTCAGTTTGGAAGTTATATTAGTATTTCAGACAGGCCCAGCCTGAGATCGGAATCACATTTAATAGAAAGAGGACAAACCAAAAGATGAGGGTGATGGCAGGGAGCCTCCTCCTGGAGCTCATCACCAAAGATAGTTCAAAATGCTCTGAGAAACAAGAAGGACACTGGCTGAAATATCTATTTAGACTGTGCTTGTTTTAGTGCCTATAAAGATTTTCAACTGTTTACCTGAAAAGTTTCAATAATTGCATCCATGCATTTTTTTCCTTCAAAACCTGATACTGCTTTAAATTTGAGCACTATATAGGTTCAGTCTAGTTACTGTACCATTTACTTTATAAACCTACCATTTTAACATTGAGACATATGCTATATCCTGGTACATGTTCTGCCACCACCATAAAAATTATAACAGCTGATTTAGTTGAGTCGGTTAAAAAAAAAATCAATAAATGATCAGAGCATCTTTACAAAAATGTTTTAAAGTCACAAACACAAAATAGACATTTAAAAAATTGTTTCTCTTTTGCATAACAGATTATGAGTATTTAAAACACCTAGTAATCCAAATCTTCATTATCTACCCATTACTGGCCTCTGAGTTAAAATAATCTGGATTAAAACAGCTGATATTTGTGACTGGTGAGAATGATTAGCTAATTGGGCAAAGCTAACTCCAACTGATAGCCCTTAAGAACAAATATTCCTGCAGGTCTTATTTTAGTAACAGAGAGTGGAGTATGCAGCATGTAGCCACAGCCGGGCTTGATTTCAGATCCGTGGTTGGCTGTGGCAGCTGGATGTTTGCAGAGCATTACGTGGCTCCAGCGAGCCAGTGACCTAATTCCACAAATCTGCTGGCCTAAATCATTGGGACTCTTGAAATAAATGAGAGCTGTTCTCAGAGCAGCAGAGTACATATATCTGCAGCACACAGAGGTGTATGGGGAATATGCATATAGTAATTCATGTTGTGCTTAGTGGTGGAAACATCTCTATTTGGTTTTCAGTTACTTTTATAGCCCATACACTTAAATTGCAACATTGTAAGCATCACATGGGTTAGGTCTGAGTCTATTTTAACTATTTCCTTAACATTAACACTCTTTAATATTTTCATTGTTTAGGTTGAATCATGGTTGCCGTTTTATCAAATTTAAGATGAATCCAAAGTATCGTGTTTTGGTGCATCTCTATATTAACCTTTCTTATGGCTAATGATTATGTCATAGATTAAAAAATGTGTCTTCTGCCTAATCAATCAGTGCTTTTTGCACTTGCTGCAGATCAGATTACACTAGCCAACTGACCAATTATCCAATTGATTGTTACCCTATAAGCACAGGATGCACATGAGTCAGTTTGCCCATGACTTGGAGGTGAGAAGACAGCAAGCACTATGATCAAATGTAGTTTCAATGCTCTAAATAAAGCAGACAGACAGATTTGAGGATTGTCTCTATGCCATCGAAGGGATACAAGTTGAGAGGATAGTGATAAAGAAGAGAAAAGGTCAGACTCAGAAAACAACTATTACAATCACTGCAAAAACCATCAGAAATAAGTAAAAAATATCTTAAATTAAGTGTATTTACCCTTAATTTAAGCAGATAAATAAGATGATTTGCCAATAGAATGAGTATTTTTACTCTTAAAATTAGATAATTAGTTAATATGCACTTGAAATAAGACATAGCAAAAAAAATTTCTTATTTTAAATGTAAATTGTCTAGTTCCATTGGCAAAGTATTCCACTTAACTCCTCATTTTAAGAAAAAATGCGCTTAATTCAAGCAAAAATTACTCATTTAGATTTCCATTTTTTGCAGTGATGACTGTTCAATGGAAGTTTAAAAAAAGGAAAAGATGGCATGCAAGTTCAGAGATATTTAGATTAGTGAGTTAGTGGACCGAGCACATCTGTCTGACTGACCTTTCTCGCTGACACTTTCCATGTCCACGTCCTCGCAACTGGTGTACTCAGGAGTGGACCCACCCTCCTCCTCTGAGCTACTGATGGACATCTGCCTCTTGTTGATTCCTCGCTTGCCTTGGTATGACCGGGGAGGGGGTGGCCGCAAAGAGTCAGACTGGTCTAAACTCTGTGAGACTTTCCTTAGCAGGTGTTCCCCACTTTTGTCCCTAGTTGTGCCAGACTCCGGGCGGGAATTGTTTGAGCCCTGATCATTAGGCAATTGTCCTCCGGTCTGGGACCCTGATTTCCCTCCTCCTCCTCCTGTAGGCGGAGGTCCGCCTCCCATCCCCACGGTCCTGTCACCAGGAAAGGTTCTGTGGTTCTCAAGGAGGCCTTTGCGGTCTCCTTCGCCACCACCACTCCTTCTGGCAACACGGTTTGAAGGTGCATGGCCCCCTACACCTCCTCCTTCACCTGGTCCTAAGCCAACCTCATTGATTGCAAGATCACTGTGTCGGCGCTCGTGCCGTACCTTCGACACCTTGGCATGCATTCGCATCTCCTGTTCTTCTTTTTGGGGTTTGACTGGATATCTCGCCAGGTTGGGGTCGCTCCGATAACGATTCTGAAACTCCTCCTCGCGGAGTTGTCTCTCCCTTTGTTCTTCGTCCTCCGGACGTCTGCGGTTCACCCCTGAATGTCTCAGGTCCTCCCCGCCATCCTCGTAGTCTTGAGAATGGATCTTTTCAAGCCGACGTCCCTCTCCAAACCGTCTTTCTCCTTTGTCATCAGTGCTCACACGCTCTTCAAGGGATGACTGAGACTGCAGCTTGCCAGGTCTGCGACCACTGCCCCGTCCCATCACCCCCCTTCCATTTTGTTCATGGAGAGATACTGGTCGTTTTCTGAGTAAAAAGAAAAATACTCCTTAGGTAATTTAATCTCAGTAAATATTTTATGAAAATAATTCGAATCATATTAGTCTTGATCTTGGTAATACCGAAAATAAATTTTACAGGGAAAGAACAACATTAACAAGCTAAAACATACAAAGGTGCTAGAAATGTTTTATCAAATCTGTCATGTGGATAATAACATTTATAATGATAAAATGGCTTTACAATGCCTTTCAATGAAAATAATTGACATTTTACACAGAGGGAATGTATAAATACATAAGGCGTGAGCTTTTAGAAGCTCTTAAAGAATTCAATGATATGGAATTCCATCTAAAGCTATGGAGATTTTCTGTAGGACATCCATGAATTGAGATCATAGCATCCTATGCGAAGGGGAGGTCTGACAGGAATTGAGGTGTAGAGTAGATGGGGGAGGTGAAGAAGGATTTTGTGATTGTTAGTACACTAGCATCTAAGTTTGGTTTGTTTTAGTGCTTTGAAATAATTTTCCTAAAGAATCCCAAAAGATGAATTATCCAATGCCACTGTATAACACATGCTACTGAACATTGTTTCCCTGTGCTCTTTTTGTTTATCTAAAATATTTTCTTGGCTCGACACTAAGGATAGAAATAAAGGCATACCGTACTGTGGTACATTTGTAAATTTGTATATCTTACTTTTCTTTTGGTGGTTCGCTTTGGGAGCGGGAGCCTGGCATGGTGTCCCCAGCCTTGGCAGTGGGGAGTCCAGCAGGTGACGGTGTCCCGTCCAGCGGCCCTGTGTTTTTGCTAGAGGGTGAAGCTTGGGATCTGGAGCGGAGGAGCTTCCTGTCACGCTGAACCTCACCTGCTTTGGCTGGGTTGTTTAGGGAGTTGCCCAGGCTCCCGGGCCTCACTCCTGACCCCGAAAACCATTCTCCTGATTTGGTGAGAATCTCCTGTTGCTTACGGCACAGGTTGCAAACCCACATTACCTGAAAAGGTTGAAAGGAAACAAATATTTTACAAGCTAATTTTAGCAGCACAACATGAGAAAAATGCCATATATAAGTGAGGGCTGGGCAACCCAGTACCCGAGGAAGGGTGTCATGCAACTTTTAGATGTCTTCTTGGTTCAATACACCTACATCAAATGGTTGAATTACTCCCCCAGTATGTAGTTAAGTTCCTCAGTGTCCTGCTAACCATCTATTTAGTTGATTGAGGTGTGTTGGAGTGAAGAGAAATCTAAAAGTTGCAGGACACTTGCCCTCAAGGATAGAAGATCCCCACCCTGATACAAGTAAATTGGTATTTAAATGAAAATAAAGGAAAAAAACACCAAACCTAAAAATAAATAGATCCTGAATCAATAATTAGATAGAAGTTCACAATATGATTCTGCATGTTTAATTCTAAAGAGGCAACGTGATTTGTACTGCTTAGATTTAGATAATGTTATTAAACAGCTCTCTTGAATATGTCCCTCTTCCTTTTAACAGAAAACCCAGAACAGAGGAGGAAAATGGTTTAGTAATTTTAACAGTTTGAGCAAATTTGGTGAAGAAAAATATTTCACTTTACTGTTCTATATAGAACACTGTTTAAGAGAGCTTTACTATAGATGCAAACCTGATTTAAAAATAAACTAACACAAAGCACCAAAGAGTGAATTATATTTAAGAGTGACAAAATTATATTTTACTACAAACTTAACAATAGCTGAAAAGCTGTATATCTGCCCAATGTAAACAGTTAACTTTCTACTGCAAATGTTGTTTTCAGGTATAACTCTATGTATGTCGACTTATTCATCAAACTTATTGTAGATCCATACTAAACTGACACAAGTGCAAAATCTGCAAAATGCATGAAGTTCTTCAAACATGAAGATTCTCTGTTGTCTGTAGATGCTAGTTATTTTGCCCCTTTTCCATTTTAGAAAAAGCATGGCGAAATCCTAAACGAATACAGCCTTGTGAAAGTGCAAATTTGTAGTTACTTTGAATCATTTTACTTTACTTAACACAATCAAAAATTTTAGCTTTTGTGAGAAAATATTTTAGCTCTGTAGAAAAATACAATTTGAGAGGTATTACATCATAACCAGTCTGGCGTGTGCTTTTAATCCTAATGTTGCAGAACAAAAAAAGGAAGGTCTTCTGCACTGCATCCTCAAGACACATATAGTTTATAGGAAATATCATCCCTCTAAAAAAAAAAAAACCCTGTAAACATCAAATACTCACATGCAGCCATGGCTACTAAATATCACCTCACTTCGACTGCATAAAAACAGGATTTGTCTCCCTCTGCATTGATAATCCACAGGTTTATTTTGCCGAGAATAAATCCAAAGAGGTGGGGAACACACAAGTCCTACGTGTTCCACAACATAACCGCTGCACAAAACAAAAACATCTCTTTGACATTTAGAAAACTACAAAAGCTACTCCTTGACAGCCGCTGAGATGCACTTAGCAGTCAGTTTAGCGTTTAGCCTTCAGTGTGCCAAACCACATTCATCATGGCCTGACAGAATCCCAGTTGGCGCATGTCCAGACTAATCTAAAACTAAATCAGCTGCTCGCGCAACCCACAGCTGTCAGGCTGCCTGACAGCCAGCCTCACACTGCCACCTCTTTTCGCCTCTGACTTTCTCCTCTTCAGCTGACGGCCAGCAGATTAGTAGTGGCCTGTAATCCTTTCATTTTCTCACCATTATTCAGCTCATCATCAGCTGAGAATACCCACTCACAATTCACGACTTCCCACTTTGTTTCCCCTCCTTTTTCCAATGTGACTATCTGATCACGTTATGCTTGTTAGATGTGAACCCAAGACTAATCGAATTTAGTTTTCTTTTTTCTAGCGGTAGATTTTATTAAATTAATTTAAACAGTCATTTTTTTTCATTTAAATTGCATTTTTATTAAGGAGAAAAAAATCGGTTTCATGTTTATCTTCACAGTTTTAAGCAGGACATGCCTTTGCTTATATTTTATCTACAAAACACACATTCATTGATACTCGACCGAATTGACTGGTTCCTTTTCTTTGACTGTTCTTTTTTTTCGTACAAATAGACAGTTTAGACCTCTCTGGTTTGAAAGAAAAAGCCACCAAAAATGCATCAATTTAACATCTGTACACCTGCTAACTAAATGCCGCCGTCATGCATTCTTTCAGCAGCGAGATGCTTTAATTCAAGCTTTTAAAGAAGTAAGTCTCAGCTTTCTATAAAGAGCAAGAATGGATGGGTGATGTGGGGCTGACAGGTCAATGGGGATGAGGGCAGTTGCTCACTGAGTGTACAGGGACCAAAGTATCCAACACACAACACACAACGGCAGGCATTGTTTATAGCTGAATGCTAAATTGTGAATCGTGGGAGGAAAGACGATTGCCAAAACATAACACTCCATTTCTCTTTGTAAGGCATTAGATAAATTCTGCTAGCAGGAAGTGAAGCCAAGGGGGGCATCGGATGAAAACACAGCAGCACATGTGGTGAGGCCGTAAATCCACATTTCATCCAACATGGAGATTACTTCTAACTGTTCCTTCCTTAAAGGTATAGTGGAGCATGTTCATTGTCCGGGTGGATCAACAAAATAAGTGGTCCTCCTAATTGTCAACCCTTCTGGCGATATGTTTACGTAAGGCCGTCCTACTTGCTCGTCACCATTTTCACTTACCGGTGATGAGTCTGACATAGTGGAAAAATTGTAAATGTTCTTTTGGAAAGTAAGCTCGTATGAGCTATGCAAACGGTAACTTTTAAACAGACCATGCACAGGGAGAAATTGGCTCGTGCATGCTCTGGCACGTGTTTAATAGGTGTTCCCTCTCAGGAGCGGGTACAGGGTTGTGCATGTGCTTTTTTTTAAAAAGTGGAGAGGATGGGTCTTTTCAAGAATTCGCGAAAATCCTTCACTACAACTTTTACGCTGTAGAAATTCTGATAACACTGTTATATACAATGAAACACTTGTTTGGCATCAGCATTCTTTCAGTCTTTCTGAATGTCACAAATTTCTTGGACTATCTAAGCTAGACTGTTAGAACTCCATGTGTTTCAGACAAGAAACTTAACAAAAACAAAAAAGATTTTCTTCCAATTATATAGGGCCTAATTATTGCCTGGCATTCATTCAGAAAGCATGGCAGAGATTGTAGAGCAACATATGATCCGTCTAGAACCACACTACATACAACTAAAATATATTTTATTGTATTTTAATATCCAATACGCTCAATATCAATATATTTGTTTCTTCAAGCAAAATCAGAGGGCACAAAAAGTTGTGGATTGGAAATTTAAAGTTCTTGAGTGCTTTATTAAATAAAATTTAGAAATATACACTAAAAATGCATTCATTTATTTTTTGAGGGAGTGATAGAGGTGTTGAACCACTGATTTGGTTAAATGTAAAAAAATTTTTTTGCGTTTTTAACTTAATTAAAGTTAATAAACCAAAAGTTTGATTACTCTGAATATTCAGTGTGAGTTCAGTCTTTTAACAATGCACTATCAATCCATGCACTTGTACGTCAAAAAGATGGCCCTGTTATTTCAATCTAAAGAATATCTAACTTGAATGATTAAAAGACATTGTTAAACTACCTGAGACATTTTTACTTAATGTGAAACATATGTCAACTTCTGTATTCACATTTGAGCCTTTTGTTCCTCATATGCATACTGTTTTTAAATACTGTGACAGTAGTGTGAAAGAGAAAAAAGAAATCGAAATAGGAAAATGCATCAGAAGGGTGTTAAATAAAGACATACAGTGGAAAGGGATTGCAGGAGTTTTATAGAGGCATCTGAGGTAGAAGAGAACATAGGAGTAGAGTTTAAGCAGAGAGGATAAGTCATCAAGTATTGACTAGCTTGACTAAAATTATGCAGGACATAGCAAAAGCTACATTTCGTTGTGCTTTACTTAAAGCCCTCTAGTGTTTCTAGTGTTTTGGGGACATTATATGTTTTATATTTAAAAGATGATTGCATGCTTACTCTCACAACCCACCCTAAAGTTATTTAAACATAGCAAAAAAAACTTTAACATTGTAATCAAGCAAACAATCCTTCCCAAAGACATATATTAATTCTTAACAATGCCTAAGCAAGGAATCTGATCATTGATAACCCATTAATAGCAGTCAAGATTACACAAAATGTTAAACTTTGGATTGTTTTTTTTTTTTTACACTGGCATTAGAAGAAATGTGTCTGGCACCAGCTTTTCTCTGTCCCCCACTAGGAGGCAGTGCTCGTCTACAAAGGAAATGGATCATAAGCATCTAGTTCCCTCCCTGGGAGCCATCTGGAGCCAACATTAAAACACACATAAGCAAACAATGTTTGGATCTCTCCACTAATATTTTCTTCAAAACCATTTTTATACTTTTTCAGATGGCATTCTTTTCTGGTCACACCTGCAATGTTTTGAAATGCTGATAAACATTATTAAAATTCTGCTGCCATAGTAGGATTTCCCTGATATTTTCTTATTGCATTAAAACCGTGAGTTTTTGCAGTTACAATGATCATATTGTCTCATTGTGGTACTATTGTATTTTATAAGTGGCAAATTTAGGTGCAGTATGAAGGTGAAATTGACCCCTAAAACTGCATACTGAAAGGGAATAATGACATGATATTTCCCCACCAATTGATAGATTTTCCCCATTCCAAGTCTGAGCCTAAACTCTGAGGCAGAATTGCACATGAAATAGTTAATCTTTGCACATAAACAGTTTGCAGTTTCAATGAGTCAACAAGTGTAAAAGAAAAAAGGAATTTGCCTCCTTAAAATTTGCACAATCAGTCAATATTATTACACCTTAATTTGTATATCTGGTTTTCCATTGAAACCCACTCAGTTTAATGCGTCATTGTACTTTGAAATGAAAACATGAAAATAATTGAAGTTTAAATGTAACTGTTTGCATCAGTTTATTAAACAGAATGTATTTCAGAATTTCTACTCATTAATGTAGTCATCTCTGCTCTGGACCAGGGGATTTGATCCCTGCTTTTTGCAGATGACGTGTTTCTGCTGGCTCCCTTTTGCCATGTAAAGGCAAAGCTCTCGATTCGCCCTTCAATATACATTCCTAACGTCAACTATGGTCATGAAACCTGGATCAGGACCAGAAGAATAAGATCTGGGATTCAAGTGGCTGAAATGAGCTTTCTCCACAGGGTGGCTGGATGCTGCCATAGAGATAGATAGCTCAGTGATTAGGGAGAGGCTATGAGTAGAACCGTTTCCCATCTAAATCGACAGGATTCAGCTGAGGTGGCTTTGTCATTTTTTGAACGCCCTCTGCATGTGTTCCAGGCATGTCCTACCTGGAGGAGGCCCAGGGGTGACCCAAGATATGTTGGAGGGAGTATATGTGTGAAGAAGCCGCTTTCACACTGAAAACCCATGTATTTAAAAACCGGGTTAACCCCCTAACAATCAGCTTTGGCCATTTTTCCCATTTGTCCGAAAAGCCGGGTCTAACTCCTACTGGCAAGCTGCTTGGCCACTGCCCCTCTCCACTGAGTGTCTGATGTTGGCAACAAGCTGGATGAGCGTTGCTGATTTTGATAGTGTGTTGGAAATTTGTGAAGTAAATTTTGGAGAACAACATGGACGTACTCGAACGGTGCATGAAACCTGAGGACGAATCTCCCCTTCTCTGCGGATCATAAGGAGCTCATAAATCTATCTTGCCGGTGCTGTATCATGTTTCTTGATTACAAGCAGAGTTGTTTGGGCTTGTTATTTAACATGTGACCGGCACAATGTTGTGACGTATCCTGGGCTCAAAGTCATCATGTAATTTAGCGGGTCAACCCGAGTTTGGTGTTCCCACTGCATGCTGATCAGAGCCGAGGCGATTTTAAGATGGGTCACACGCTGAGTCGTCTGACCCCGGTAGACACGTGTCAGCGAGCTGTTCCCACTTCCACTTAAAGCCGATTGTCACCCATTACCCACGCTGTCAACTCTCAGAAAGTTGTCCTTCAGTTCCGATGCGGCTTTGTTACACCTCCTCTTGTCAGAGTTTCTGTCAGTTTCTAAATGCTTTGTGTTGGTAAACAAGGCTTCTCACAGGCACCTTGACTTTCCTTGCAATGTTCCTACAGGATAGACCTAAACTTGTAGGTGTTATAACAGTCTGTCTGTTCCATCCCTAATTGCCTTTTTCTAAACATAATTTTAGCAACACAGCTGATGCTCACAAGGTTTTGTATCCCATTGCGTTCCAACACTGCTTTTGTGCAAACAGATGGGGTTGTAAGCAATGTTCCCGCTATGTTTTCATGTGTCTGAGCATACACATGAGCCCCCTGAGTACACCCAGAACCACTATGAGCAAATATGCACACTGAGGCCACACACCTGTTATAAACCAGGGATAAGTTTATGAAAAGAATAAATGATTACAGCAGCAATTTCCATTAGTTTACTTTTTATTCAAATGATTTGGCCCACTTAAAAAATGAAAATTGTTTTCCATGATATGTGTAGTAGGCTATGCTATACTGTATGTAAGAGTCCTGCTTTGGTTAGGATGTGGGTCATGTTCTGGAAGAAATGAGACCTTTCAAACATTACTTTTGTTTGTATTGACAAATTCACATTTTGCACAATAAAATGCATGCTGAAGCCTGTTTTGCTGTATAGTATAAATTCCTATAACTCTTTGTGTGTAGATTTTCTAATTATACAATTTTTTAGAGTTTCTACTGACATAAATTATATAATAGTATAAGCATTATTGATGAATATCCATAAATACAAAATCTTAATAATTGTCACTTTTACGAAATATGTACATTTAAGCAAGTTCCTGGATGCTGTTTTGATATAATCATTAAACTAAACCTTCTATTACAATTAGCACTGGATACTTGAAATGTAGTTAAAAAAAGAGCTCCTTTTTTGCTTCGTCATGTACTTGAATTTGTAAAAAAAAAAAAATAAATAAAAAGAGTCACATGGAGCATCATGTTAATGTGCATGTTGGATCAGGGCTTTTACAAACCAGTAAGGCAGTTGTTTCTCTATTCTATGTTCATTGTTGGTTTTAAGTTGAAAAACCAATGATACACAGTTTCAAAATATTACAGAAAGGGATGTTATTGTTCTAACTGATTTATAGTTTATGTTGGCTTTTATTTCATGTGCTGCATAGAAACACAGTTGAACCACTTTCAAATTAATCGATTTAGAACTGTATGAATCATAATTGAATCGATTTAAGACTTTGTTGAAAATACCCAGCCCTAATACACATGCGAGCACATGCACAGAAGAGAATTATTCCCACATTGAATTTTAGCAGCAGGGTCCAGACCAGAAAAAAAACCTTATTTTAACTTTTAAAAAAGACAATCAGCTTTGTTATACTGTTATTTCTTGGATGTAGAAACATTGAGACATGACTGAAGGTTCCAGGATGTTCAGAGAAGAAGCCTCTACAGCTAAAACCATATTAATCAATATTAATTTAAAATAATTTACTTCAGTAGTAAAAAATGTGTGTGCAAGAATTAAAATTTGGTTCGATTTTGTTTTCATGATTAAAATCATAGAAAACAGTGGCTGTGGTTTATATTGTGACTCCAATTTAATTTAGGTTCGATAAAAACTAAGCCTATGCTGATCTGACAGCGTATGCTGTTCTGACAGAACTCCAGCATCCAGCTCAACTCAGACATCCATGGCAACACTGGATAAGGCGAAAAAATATAATAATAATAATAATAATAATAAATAATCTTAAGTGTGAGCTATGAGAATGAGCAGAAGAGTGCTTTAGCTCTTTGTTTTGGCCACAAGTGGCAGTACGGTTAGAAAACTCCCTAATGTCTCTTTAAGGTTGCTGAATAAAAAGGAAAACCAACCAATCTCTTTATAAGGTAGTTTTCGAAATTGTGTTTCAAATTTTGGTATTTTAAATTTGAAATACAAACCATTTGTTTCCAGAACATTGCAAAAGACACTTCATATATACAGGTAAATAAAACAATACATGTCTGTTTGCAGAACGTAGGTTTGACGAAGTGTGGAATCTCTCTCTAGGTCAGCTGTTGCACAGATGTTAAGACATGTCACTGATAGATTAACTAATGTAGGATAAAATATCCTTGGAGACTCTTTCACCCTTCCCCCTCCCCCTTTCTCAAAGCAAATCAGACCACAGCAACCTCCAGTAATTACTTTGACATTACTCTTATTTTATCTCTATGGACACAAATATGTCCTGAAATTTGTCCTTATGTTCTTTTTTTCAGAATGTCTTCTGATTTATTTATGATAATTATTAGATCTAGAGGATTGAAAGACTACTGCTGATTAATTAATAACCTTATATAAAGTCAGACCCTTATTTTCTGGGTATTGATAAAAAAACAAAACAGAGCAATGTCTTATTGGCCATTTTTATCACTTAATGTCTGTCCAGTTTGTGGTTGTACAAAAACTCAAGAGACACAAGGAGATAGCAGCAACTATTTAGATGCTCACATAAAACACAAAACCAGAAGCACAAAATTTTTTTTTAACCTAAAACACCTTTGATGCACAACTAGATTTACCAGCATGATATCTCTCAAAATTTCATTTTGGCAAATAGTAAAACTTCTGAAAAAATGCAAAGGGGAACAAATAAATTGAAGCCCATCCCGTCTCCCCATGGTAAGGCTGCTCTGGTCTTAAAACACATGGAAAACGTGCACAGGCATTCTTGAATTTTTAGGTAAAAGCTTTGTCAGAAAAAATCTTTTTTGCTACTCATGCCAGCTTCCGTGCCAATCACCATATTTCTATGACCACTCCTCTCCCAGCACAGCCATACTCACAACCAAAGGAAGACAGGGTCGGGATTGCTGATATAGGCTCAGACGCCTCTAAAAAAACAGCCTTTATTTTGTCTCATGCTGCCGTTTTAATGTCTGAATTCATTCTCAGCTTTGCTCAATCTTATGAGACAAAAGAATTGACCCTGGCCCATTTCAACTCTAAAGCTGTGAATGAACACAGACCTGAAAGGTGGGAGAGGGAAGAATAGAAGTGACCCATGCAGAGAATTCTTTTACCAAAATGTCTTACCCTGTCCTTCACTATGAGACACTTTGCAAGGGGAGGAGACAAACAATGGACACAGGGTTAGTCATGAAGGTTCAAAAACACATCTGCTCCAGGTGTCTCCAACCCAGGAACGTATGTTAAATGCTGAGAGACATAAACTGTCTGAAAGGTAGCAGATTCCTTCTGCTCAGTAGATTCAATAATCCTTCAGTGGGTTTATGCAAACACTGGCTTTATTCCAAACTGATAGCTCACCATCTTGCACCCGATTATTTTACCCTTTTTTTTCTTGCTTTTGAGTTTGAAAATTATATATTTGGCAACATGAAAAATATAAGAAAAAAGAATCTATATTTCCACATGTTTCGCATTCATTGACAGAGGTCTTAGCTCCAGGTTTGAAAGCAGCCAGTGTACTTTTTTAAGCCTTATAGGACATACACATCATATTTGTGGCACATAGAGAACACAAAAGAGATGCTAACCACTTTGTCCTCCTTTTGTGGCATGCAGTCCAGGTAGCAGAGAGAAATAAGAAACGTGAAGAAAGGATTGGAGAAAAATGGGAAAGAGGTTTTGTCGATAGCAGAAACAATGCGGGGAGTAAAATGTAAGGGAAAGGGAAATTAGTGATGTAGATAGTGTGGAAGAAGAAGAGGCAAAAGACAGAAGGGAGACAGAGGATGTGGTGCAGAAGTTATTTACATTCTGCAGAATTGCTAAACATTCTTCATACTTAGTGAGTTTAAAGATGGTGGACATAACCAAATGCAAATGCACGGGGGTAGCTGTTGCAGGTACATGCACGAACCAGCTTGGCATGATATTAGCATGATGTAAGGATAAAGATCTCCTGCAAAAGGATGAACTCAACTCATCTAAAGCCACATTGCTCCACAGTCATCTTTCTTTTTAGCCTTCTAAGCACATGCTTAGAAGGGGCCGCATTTCACAGTTGCTTTTTACATCTCTGCTTCTCTCTCCTTTAACCCCAGTCGGCCTCTGCAGATGGCCGCTTACACTGAGCCTGGTTCTGCTGGAGGTTTCTTCCTGTTAAAAGAGAGTTTTTTCCTCTCCACTGTCGCTACAAGCATGCTTAGTCTGAGAGATTGCATTCAAGTCAATGAGTCGATGCAATCAACTGGTTTTCCTTAGATAGAAAACTTTAAATCGATTTGAATGTATGATCTGGTTGAACTGTAAAGTACCTTGAGATGGCATGTGTTGTGAATTGGTGCTATATGAATAAACTGAATTGAATGCTTGTAAAAAAACATGTTACCTTTTTTTTTTTACCATTTAATACATTCATGTCTCTATGTCGAAGGCATCTTGTGTAACATCCCCATACTAGTTTGCAGTCCTTGCTTAAGTTTTTTAATATGCTTAAAGCTACAGTGTGTAATAATTACAGGGATATAGAGTCAGAAATGTAATATATTATACATAACTATGTTATTTATCATCATCTACGAGCTCAGCCTCTTAACCTTAATATTTGCGTTGCCTTAGAATTCGTTATTTATAATTACATAGGAGCGGGTCTCGCAGCCATGGAGGCAGACATCTTTGCGCTACGGCAGCGAGTGGCCAACAAACTAGTGATTACGAGATCGCCCATTACGCTTGCGCTACGCTTGCCGTTCAGATGAACTGAAATCTATACCCTACACAGACTAATGAAATACTATCTGTAAAATTATCTATGTAAACAAACCTCATCACTTGAGAAGGTAGGTGATGCGGACGTCGTGGAAGACATTTTGTCCCGTAACGCTCGCCGTACTGTTGGGGGGGAGAAGCTGTGGGGGGGAGATGTTCATGTTGCTGCGGTCTGCACTCTGGACGTTAGATGTCGCTGAAAATTACACACTGTAGCTTTAAAATAATCACCTTTATTTCTATTGTATTTGTTTTTATTTCAGACTAGAAATATGAGAAGATCTAAATTTCATTTTTAATTACTGGCTTAAAAATAAGTAAAGAAATACTTATCTTAGTAATTACCAATTTACCTAGAATATGTTAAATGGAAGGATACAAAAAAATTAAGTCAATTAGAACAGATACGAGTAAATAATTTTTAATAAATGTTGCATGTTTTTGTAGTTTATAAATATGAAACGATACAAAGGGCCTTTTAGTCACTACAAGAAACCACACAGACAAAGAAAAGGATTGCTAGACACAACATTAAGCCCTTTCAATGGTCATCTCAAGTTCTCAGATCTGAATCCTATAAAAAATATGTAAGCTGAGCTGTAAACAAGACAGCATAAGAGGGGATCGGGGCTGCAGAACTAATTAATTAAGCTTATAACAATGCTATAAGGTTATTCCTTGGTATTTCATTTGATCCCTGCATTTCTAATTCTCATGACTTGTACTCTCTGAGCAGCAGTCCTCACATTCCTGGAGAACTGAGTGGCCATCACACTCTTACATAACACAGATGCTTTGTTCGATTTCAGCAGCTGCATCCTCCAAAGAAATCGGTCTACCTGGACTGGTTCCTTCGGAGGCTTTGAAAATAAGGAGGCCAGAAGAGTTCAGCTATAAATTCAAACAGGTCCAGCCTTCCCCAGCTGTCACCACGCCTCACTTAGGGTAAGCTCTGTTACTTAGCAACCGTGGCAGTCGACTCACAAAGCAGAGAATGGATGCTGAACTACTTACTATTGTTCTTTAGGATATGAAACACATAATCCATAGTAATGGGTTTCTGGTAGTATAAAGAGACTTAATTTTTAAGTGTGTGTGTGGGAGGGGGGTGTAAAGTTTGTAATGTTTTATTGCTTTTAATATTTCAAAGTTTTACAGAAATTCTAAAATTAATAGCAGGAACAATGAGGGGAGAAATTGCAAAAAACTGCACTGGAATTTTCTGGATATTAAACATGGAAAAACACAAGAATTTCACAACATAAAGTGACAGTGTAATGGCTAAATTCTTAGACTTTGTGCAAAAAAGATCAGTGAACATTTGATCTGTGATTCATAAGTCGCTGTAACGATTATCCTGCTTTGATAAATCATATATAGTGATTAAGTTCATCTTTTGTCATTTCCACATTTCAACTTGTCTTGTGTTTAAAGAGATATATGAATGAATCCACCAGCAGGAAACTATTTTTATCCAATAATCTGAGTGATATTTCAGGTCTGTGTACATGCGATCCCAGTATGATTGCAGTCCCAACTGGGATGAGTGAACACTGAACAGATTGGGCAGCAGCAGGCTGAGGGTGGAGGGCCCAGATTCAGGTAAAGTAAGCAGAAGGAGAGCTCTCTTAAGTTGGAGGGGAGCCCAGAGAAGGCTTAGATGGAGGAGGGCTGAGTCCTAAAATAGCAAAAAAAAATGTTGGGTTAAGGGTTGGAAATCAAAATGTTCTAAATTGGAGCGACCTGATGTTTATAACTATTAATTGGCTGTTTTACTTTTTTAAACCTTGTCTACCTGGGCTTCAAATATGACTACTAATGGTCATAGTGTCACTTGTGTTGAATAGATTTTTTAGAAATAGCAAACTGTGACGAAAAAAAATCTGCCATATGTTCAAATTTGATCCATCTGAAGTATTTTAGAATTAGATAAGAACTGTTCAAAGGGTAGATTAAACTATCATACAATTTTTGTTTCAAAATTAATTTTAGCTCACAATGGAATTTATACAATAGGTTCATTATTCAATTAGTTTATCAAAATGGTTTTAAGTTTCCACCCTTAATGCCTGTTGTTTTAAATTATGTCTTAATGTTCACATTAAAAGAAAATAATAAGAAAATAATAATCTGGATAACCGGCTCTATGTGATCCTTTATTACTTTAAAAAGGGGTAAGTTATATGCACTGATTTCTTTCTTTTGATAATAATTGTGCCTAAAATAGTCTGCAACAAAAAACCGACAAACTGTGTCGCTTTTTCTAGGTGGTAATATGCTAAAGAGATACCGGGTGACTGAAGCTCCTTTTTTGTTCTTTCCACTCCTGGAGATGTGACTTGAGAAAAGTGACACAAAAGCTCTCATGCTTACTGTGACAAATACAGTGTCATTGCAACACAAAACCCCAAATAGTGTGATTTCTTGTTTAAGTTTGCAAAGCGGCATCAATTCAGAACCATTCATGGTCCATTTTAGGGGTAAAGCCATTCATTTCACACACTTTGGTTTTTCAAAGCGTGCAAGAAAGCAAGAGGATAACGCATATAGACACAGCACAAAAGCAGGGAGGAGCAGCTTTATATTATCTGCAGCAGGAATGAAGTAGGTGAGAAAAGAGGAAAATAAAAAAAAGAGGAGTATGCCAGAGTTAAGGAGTCTCACATTGTTGGAGCGCAAAGAGACCCGCCCTCCACAGCGAGCGCAGAATTTGGTCTGGCAGTATGAGCAGAGGTGACCACAGCCATCAGCAAACTTTGTCTTGCGGCAAATGCCGCAGGTGGGAGCGTCATCCTTCTGCTGCGTCGGCTGATGACGCGTCTCGACCCCGATGCGACGTACTTCCTGTTTGTAGCTCTCAAACTGCTGGTGCAGTGTCCTGGAAGAGAGATTATAAAGGTTGGCTTTAGAGATTAAGCCCGCAACTTTTAACACTTCTAAGAACAATTTCATCCACCCTAAAAATGACATTGAGATAAAACCTTTTGAATAAAAACTACTCTTTGAAAGATATTCAAACCCTTGAACTTTTTCTATATTTCTTATTTCATACTACTATGTATTTTTACGTTGTGCTGTAAACCATCTAATTTTAATTACCTATAAATCATCACAACAAAGTGCATACATTTTGAATGGAATGTTTTTGAAAATGTTAAATAAGAAGCTGAATAGTGCAGCGTGGACATGTATTGAGCGACATTTGTTTTTAAAGCTCTGGCGTCAGAGGTCATTTACTTAGTTAATTTAGTTCACCTCTGTGAAGTGTGATATTTAAATTTCCTGTAATTTTGGGAATGCCTAAGAGTTTTATTGGGAACCTAACACCTTAAAGACCAAGGAACACAATACACATTTCAGGGAAAAATACCTGGTAGTTTACCAACCCTATCCCAGGCTTTAAACATCTAACATATGTCAATTTGATCCACTGTTTGAAATCACAGAGATACATTTAATAGCTGAATGGCCCAGTTAAAGTCAAAACTGGTGGCTGGCATGAATCCCCATTTCATTCACCTGTTTAGCTCTGTCCTGTTCCTCATCACTGCTCATCTTATCCACCTGCTCCTGCTTTTATTTTATCTCCTTGGTCCCAGCCGTCAGGGCCAGATCATTCCTGAGCCTTGAGCTTGATCTTATGTCAGCTCTGCAGCCTTGTAGGCTTCCATGTCTGGAACTCTCTGGCAGCGCCCGCTGCGTCTTGTCAGTCAACCGGCTGGAATCATCCTCGTTCTCTTGGCACGGACTGAACAGTCAAACCAGGTTAGTGACTCACGCATTCTAAATCATCCTCCGTCACATTTCCATAGTCACTAACCTGTGTTTTTCTCCAATAGAAATTCCTGCCTCAGAAGCCCTAGCCACTGCAGCCTCTGCCGCTGCAGATCCGTTTCTGTCATTGTTTGAAAAAACTTTTTTGAAGTGTTCCTCTGTCTTTCTTGCCTGAATTCTGGGTCCTACCTCCTGAGCCACTACACATCCAAATTGACTAAAAAGGGATCAGTTTAGAAAATATAGAATGAAAAACCTTTTCAGTGTTTTGATGTGCAAAACTTGTAGGAAAATATCTCAAAAGTCATAGAACTGTAAATGGGGTCTAGCACCATTGTTCTTCACTGTGATAAAAGTACCATTGATGGTTATGGAGTACTTGTAAGTCTTACCAGGAACATTGTTTTTATTTTTTGGGGGGACAATTTTAAACGTATTAGTTTCATTAAAAGATTAGTAACATTTAAAATCATTAAGAATTGCAATACACAGAACACATAACGTTTATTCAGAACATTTCATGGATTACCAGAATGAACTGAGGAACCAGATAGAAAGCAAAGAACAAGTACAGATGGAAATTGTCTCTTTTTCCACTAAAATCAGAGGTTAGATTTTGAAATTACACCTAACCCAATGTAATTACTCCGGTTATGGGATCAAAAACCAGCAGGATATACAATTCTTTATTTTACCTGCTAAGTCCTACAGTAATAACTACATGGGCTGATTTCAGTGAATGTATCAGAATTAAAAACAGATTTTTTTTGTTAAATTAACCTCACAGTGCTGCTTTAAACTTGATATGTTCTTAGGAGGTACTTTGCTTAAAATAATAATAAAAAATGAAATTTGAAGATTTTTCAAATATAAAAAAGTTAAGGAAGTATTAACAATTTTATAAAGCATTGGATGTTACAGATCCAAACAATCATGAAGTCAACAATTAAAGCAAAACATGTTTTGTTTGAAAAAAAATGAGATCTTCAGCTTGCTTTGTTAATCAGTGGTTCGTGGGCTTTTCTCCTGCTTGTGATGGAAATAAAATGCGAGATAATTGCAAATCAAGGAAGGCTAGCCCCCCCACACTGTCTTTAAACTGAACTTTTTAAAGTGTAGTGCGTTAAGGGCTGCCGACATGCTCTATAGGCATCTCACAGAGGGGGAGTGAAAACTTCTTCCTTCACAAATACAGTGAGAGTTTGTCCGTCACCTGTTTGGTCTTAAGCTCAGTAAAACAGAGAAAAACGTCCTTCTACATTCTCTTATTTCGCTCTCTAAATCAACTACCGGTACTAATAGAAAATTAGTGATTCTTAGCAGCCTTGTTTACCTGGATGTGTTGAAAGCAGACATGTCTTTGATGATATGACCTTCACTTTGTGGCTGTAAAACAGACTGAAAACATAACTCCTCATATGCCGAAGGAAGCTTTTTCCTGTAAAAATGACTAAACAGACAATGATCCCTCACCATGTCACATCCACAGCCAACTAGCGATGCTTACAGATAAAGGTGTGAAAGCAAAGCAAAAATAAAAATGCTGTTTTTGTCAGTCTGTAGTGAAAAAAAGTTGTCCACACAAAACTAAGAGGTAATCCAAAAAGCAATTCGAAATCCATGAATTAAGAAATAATTTCAACAAGAAAGGATATTGTTAGCACACGAATTGGGTCTGTTAAGATGTCTGTGGCTTTAAATGCTGCAGTAACAGACAGCCTCTCTGCACAGTTGGAACGGGGAGGTGACTGGCAGTCTGGGACTCATCATGGCCAATCAGCTGGTATGTGGAAAAGGCTGGAACATTCAGCCTGTGATGTGAAATCTCCAATAAGTTCTTGAGAAATAAGAATTTTACCATAAAAAGGTTTTATCCTTTGGGATGTCAGCTTCTGTCAGAAGCAGCACTAATGTCGTCTGCAATAGATAAGGCTCTTAGTGTATCTCCTTTTTTTTCCTCAAAGTTTTTATGGTCATTACACTGTCACAAGTACAGAGGAACGAAATTAATTCTGTGCATCTAACCCATCCCCTTAGGGAGCGGTGGGATGCTATTGTGCAGCGCCCGGGAAGCAGTGTGGCTTTAAGGGTATTTGCTCAGGCACCCAGAGTGGCAGTCTGTGGGAGTGGGACTTGAACTCAGGACCTCTGGATTCCAAGAGCAATGTCCTAACCCCTAGGCCGCCACTCCCCAATCGAAAAGAGGGTTCTGGGATTAATTCGCGGCCCGGGGTTAACCCCAGACCGGGGAATTTGCATGTTCTCCCTCTGCATGCTTGGGTTCTCTCCGGGTACTCCGTCTTGTACACGTACAGATTAATGACCAAGGATGATGATATAAGGTATATTGGTTTATGAACAAGATTTTAATGCAGAGTTGTTTAAAAATGAGCTGTTCATTACTTAAACAGAGGAGTTTCCATTGCTATTGATCTTCCTGTTTAAAATATGTTTCTAGTCAAAGCAATCCCCTGATTAAAAAGTTAGACTATGTACACAGCATACATTTGCTAGATATACATGTTTTCTACAAAGCAGTTGTTTCTCACAGGATGATTTTTAACTACACACTTTCTCCTATCTCCATTTTCCACATAAATATATCATCCAGTTATCTATAAAGAAAAACCGTGCACGTGTGTCAATGGTTAAAGACGTATGGAATACCTAAGGTATTTAAGTGGTAACAGTCTAATCAGCCTTTAGGGTCAGTCTTTAAGGGTACTTAATTTGAGTTTTTGAAGAGTCCAAAAGTTAACTTAGTTATCTATTACAGATATGGACTGGTTACAGGTATATGGTAATCTTTTTTGATTAAGGTATGTTTTACTATTGCTTTCTTCACATTGTTGTAAAAAATGTCTTCCAGTTTCTGTGCTTTAGTTATTTCACCCATATGTGCTGGATTCCAGTACTCAGCCTCTTCAGCATCCCAAAAAAGTAAAAAAAAAAAACAAACCACTGGACTTTTTTTTAAGTTTTCAGAATAAATGCTCCTTGGTAAACTCAGTTGTTTGTCAGATCCTCCTGTTAGACAACCTGTCTTTTACCCTGCTGCATCACATTCCCCTTTCCCATATATTTCTGTGCACAAATGTGTCCCACGCTTTTGAGAAAGATCGGTATGTGTATCCAATATTTTATGAATGACAAGCACAGTTGAAGTTTATGTGGACACGGCAGAAAACAACCACCCATCACACTTAATAACGCGATATAAATATGGTAACTTCAACAGGCAAAATAACAGCCAAACAGCAGGTCTGTTAAACAGCTGAGTGCAGCCTGTATACTTGCGCAGACAGCCCAATTAATTAAACAAGTTGGTATACTCTGGGTATTAAATAAAGTATAAAAAAAGGGTCTTTAAATCCTGCAGTTTGTTCTATTTCTTTTTTTTTTTTTTTTTTGTGTCTTACTCTCTGGACAATACTAAATGATTGACGTTTAAAACAACTGGCAAGATACCCAGACCTGGGCTGTCAGGCAAGTACATCCTGAAAGTAAGATGCTGAAGGAAGTCTCTGAAATCCCCAGTCTCTCCTCACTGGACCTAACTGAAGCTCTACTGTCTATGTGGAAGTACATAAAATCAGAGCAAGACTGAACACGTTTAATTTTCATAGGAGGTCTGCAGGGAGGAAATATTTGCTCTGTAAGAGCAAGACTAAAAACGCACACTTACAGATTTGACAGATCTGAATAGAAATGTGTTCATATTAACTGGATTCAATGGGATTGGGAAGTGCCTTAAGATGGCTAATGTTGTGAAGTTAGGCAGTAAATGTATGAGTGAACTTAATTTGATTTTGATTAATGATAAATCGATACTAACTATTAAATATCTTAAAGAAAATTAAATGTGTTTGTTTCGGCCAAATGCCAAAAAATAAACATTTAAGATCAAAGCAAAAGTCTATAAAGAAAAACAACTGCTTTTCTGTTAATATGTTAACAAATTATGAGCTATAATAAAACAGTTATCATGGATTCAAACTGCCACCCTTTCTCTCACAGATGTCCAGATGTTTTCAAAAGGCTCTCATTTAACTCTTAGATGACTAGAGTTTGGAAAAAACCCACAGCTATTCCTCAGAATAAAAA